AACTGGTTTTGTGAGAGCCATTCCTTCAGTGGCAGCTCCAGCCCTGTAAGATCTTTCTTCTGCAGTGCAGCAGTTCCCTTCCTGGGAGAGAGTTCATCAGCATGAAGTCCACTCTGTTTTCTGGTCGTGATAATTTTTTGCCTGAAATTATCCACAATAAAAGTAATTTATGAGGTGATTTTGTATTATTTTTGGAAGACTTCATCAAGGAAGAGTTGGAAAAAGGTTCCTTTCAATCCCTGCATGTCAGGAACACCCATGGGTGTTTTTAGTGGCACAAAGCAAGGCTGTGGAGTGGGCAGACTGCTAGGTTGAGTTGGTGGTGTATGGCAAGTTTGATAATGTTGTAGGGTTGGGGTTTTCCCAACTGCATGCTCAGTATAAAGGCTATTTGAGATTTATCTTGTAGCTGCAATTGTTCCTAAAGGGTTGAACTCATCCTTTTTTATACTGGATGGCTGTCTTTAATTTATTAGTAATCTAGCACCAATTGTGTCCTAGGTAAGATTTACTGTTGATTTTTCCCCATAGCTATTGGAACCCAGATCAATTACTTTGGAACTGACCTTTCCTAGAGTAGTTGAGGTGCATGTATTTCTTAATGCTCTCAGGAGGGACAAAATTAGATCAGTTTGGGTGCCTTAACTCCATTTCCATGTAGCATATTGGTATAGATAATTGGATTTCTTTTAGCCTCAAGGCTCAATTTCCTGATCATTGTTATGCTTTTTGGTTTTTTTATAGACAATGGCAGCCTATTCATGATAATCCTTCCTCCAGGTTACTGGGGTGTGTTTGCTTGTATTAATTTCTGCTTCATGGAGCTGTGTTTGGGTCTTCAGAATACATATTTTATTTCCTGCTGAAAGCAGGTTGAGCAGCAAAAGTGTTTGAGGTGTGTTGATGGTGGCCATGCAACAAAAAGGTATTCAGAAGACTGTCACTGTCAAAACAAATTGCTTGTCAAGTGTCTCTCTTTGTTGGCTTCTTCTCAGCCTTTCATCATTTGCACTTTTCAAAAACATCCTTCAGTTTCTGAGTGTTTTACCAGGAATACACCCCCTCCCAATGTTTATGGAGATGCCTGCCAGTCTTCTTTCTTTCCCCTGAAAAAATATGAGGCAATTACTCCTCTGAAGCCATAAAATAATGCTATGTTAAATTGGTTTGAAATAGGTTTTTTTGTGGTTTTTCTGAAGGTGGTATAGCCAGCAAGCAAATATTCTAATGAGGAGGCACGTATAGTAACATATGTTACAGCAGACTCTGCATTTTTAGTAGCAGAGCTAACTGGAGGAGTTTTAGCAAATTTAGCAAACACTTCTGTTATAAAACCCCAAGTTACTGACAAACAAGGGTTTGAATGTCCCTTTCTAACAAACAGTAGCTCTCCTGTGATAACATTTGTTTCCTCTGTCCCTCTTTCACTGGACTCCAGTGTTCTTCCTTGTATTTGTTCTGAAAGGCTTCCTTTCTGTAAGCCTGTGCTTTTCCATTCATCCACCCATTCCTTGAAACACCCTTCCTGTAATGTCACCCCATTGTGTAGTTTGTCATTTAGGCTCTCTAGGTACTCTTTTCGTCGTCACTGGCAGAAATCTGCTGTGTTTTGTATTAGGTAATTGTTGGAGGTTTTCAGTTTGCCTCCCCTTTCTCACGTGGGTTAGTAGAAAGCTTTTATCAGATTCATTTTTAAGTACATTTATGAAGTTGTTTCAGGAAATAAGTCCTTTTTTAATCTTAACTGGGGGGAAAAGTGGCAGTTGGATGTTAAAATGGAAACATTGTGATGTAAAAGTGAGTACAGGTGCTAACTCAGTCCTGCTCTGTACACCTGTTGTAAAGAAGGGTTTAGGATTCTTTGCCTTGAAAGCTTTTGCAGTCTCCTATTCCTAAGTTGTGCATACTGCCTGGGGCACAGAGAGGGGCAGAGAAGGATTTCAGTGTGCTGTGAGTCTGGCCAGCCTTGTGCCTGCTGTGAGGATCCCTGCAGGAGCAGTGGTGGCTGTGTGTGCCAGGCCCTTCACAGAATCCTGCAACAAACACTTGGCATCCTCTTTTCCTAAGTCTTGTGGGTATGGAAGCACTAGAACCAGCTGGGAAGAGCTGTGGGTTGTTTGGGGCTGCATGGGAGGTTCTTTGGTGGAAATGATAGCAACAGTCTAGGAAAGAAACTGAGGTTTAGAATCTGTCTAAATCAGGCTGCAGCCTCTTCTGTTTCTCTTAAGGTAAGCATGAATTAAAAAGTGCCATGGAAATCAGCTCCATAAATTATTTGTACTGTGGGAAAACACATGGCAGCAGCAGCCACTGCTAGTGCAAGGACTAAATTACCTTAGCCTCTGTTCTCCATGTTGTCAAACAGCCTGCAATATGTCCCTGGAATTCACCTTCCATTAACTTTAGACTCTCCTCAACAGTTATATTTCCTTTACAGGAGTTTAACCCTTAATAGTTCATCCTTGTTTTTAATATTATCTCTTTTTTTTTCTCTTTTGTATTTTGTGTACTTGCCTCGTTTATTTTCTTTTGTTGTGTTTTGTTTTGTGTTTATGGCCATGTTCCCATTTCAGAGACCAATGTCCTCTAACTGATGAGCAATTGGTTTCAGGGTAAGACCAAACATTCTAAACAATCACCTTTGTCTAGAATGGCTTTCTTTTCTCACCATCCTTTTAATTGTGCTTTTGTTTCTGGTTTCTGTTTTACACTGAATGATGAGAAAATCATATGCTAAATCACAGTGTCTGTAGGATATGTATTGCTAAAGGTTTGTGCCAGGATAATTACCATGGTCGTACTAACATTTCTGTGCTTCCTGTAGGGAATCCAGAATGGGTGTGGCACTGTCCCTTCTGTGAATTGGGAAAAGCTGGGAGGCTCTGGGAATGCAGCAAGTATAGCCTTGGCATTGTAATTATTCCAACAAGGAGCCCTAAATCAAATTGTTTTCTGAGGAGAAATGGCTTGAAAGTACAGATCAGTGAGTAATCTATTTAATCCCAGGGTAATGATGGAGAGCTCTTTAGAAGACCACGTTTGAACAGCTGTGTTGTTTGCTTGTCCTTGGTGCCCCACTCAGCTGAATGGGATGGTTACAAACAGAGGGAAAAGTGCTTAACTCAGGGCCCCAGAAGGAAAAAAAAAAAATAATGCATCTGTAGTCCCTGCTTAACATAAACCTCACCTACATACTCCGATCCTGTTCTGAACTACTTCAAAGAAAAATTCTTAATAAAAACCTTGCTCTGAATTTCTGTGGCATATAAAAAGTTACAATCCATTCTTGGGGGAAAAATGAATTCATGTTTGAATCTCTTCTTTTCAATGTGCTGTTGCTATGTTGTGCTCTGGAGAGGAGTGGTAGAATATTTCGGACAAATCAAAGCTTTTGTTTATTGTATATTCTTTCTGCCTGCTGAATTCCTTAGTACAGAAGAGGTTTGCTTCCCCCTGGAATTCACAATGCTCAGACTAATCTCGTAAAAGGAGAAGGGTTACTGCCCAGCTGCAAAACCTAATCTGCTTCTAACAAACTCTTGGGCTCTGAGAAGTCAGTGTTTTTAGGTCATCTTAACATACCCCAAAGATGGGAAAATGTGTTTTGAAATAAAGTAAAAGTGTTATTTTCTAAGATGAGGTGACTAATTGAAGTAATGGGAATAACACATGTGCTGTTTCTCAATTTCCCTATTGTCCTGAGGCCTAAGAAATGTCAAAATTATGTAGAGCACTGGGGGTTAAAAAAAACCCCAGTTTTTGCAGACAGCAAACCTATAAATCCAGGCTGTCAGAGGAGGAGAATGGGGCTGGAGTCCAGATGATTCTTGGGAGAGGCTGTGGTGATAGGAGGTTTGCCTGTGTCAGTATTCTGTCCCTGAGCATGTCCTCTGGCTGCAACTCAGTACTTTCCCAGACACAGAAGACCCTGGTACTGAGAAGATCCTGAGGATTTTCCAAAATCAGCCTTTTTATCTCTTCCTCCCCAAAGAGCCACATGCGAGGTAGGGCAGACAGGGCTGTTGGTATCAAGAGCTCCCCTGGGAAACTGCTGAATTCCTTCCTTTAGCACCACATTTATCTGTTAAAGGATCTGCTGGTGTAATTCCTTGTGGAAGTTACCAGAATGATCAGTTTATCAGCTCCCAGGTATCCTTTGCCAAGGCTGGAGGAGGGAAGGGTAACTAATTTCTTACCAGGAAGCCGACATTTTCTAATTTGCCCTCCTTCTCTCTTCACCCCCCCAAAACATATGCTCCTTTTGGATCCATTGCTGTTCCCATCTTCCTGGCTCCATGATGAGCCTATTAATGAGCTGCTGAACAGGGCAAAAAGAGGAGGAGAAGCTCACTACTGTCATAGTGACTTTTTTTTTCTATTTTGAATGTGATCTCCAGGGACTGTCAGTCCAGGTCCTCTTCCAGCACTTTACCCTTTCCTCCCAAACTTCCCAAGTTGTGTACCCCAGTGGCTGAGGAGCATGGGCCCCAGGAATCTCTGGCTAGTCTCTGCTTGCCCTTAGCTTGGAGTTTGGAGCAGAGCAGCCAGGAATTTAGAAGTTTGTACACAGCTGCTCCTTCCATAAACCAAACATAAGCAGCGTGCTGTGGTCAGAGTGACCTGTTTGTACAAGCACCAAGGGCTTTGGCAGTTTGGACCTGTGTGGTCCTTCATCTCCAGTATTTGTAAATAAAAGGAATTCCCCCCTGTATTCTTGAGTGCATTTGTCTTAATTTCTGTAGTACTCCATGACTCAGAGGGAAACAGGACTAAAGTACATTAATTGCTTCTCTGGGCATGGAGGGCTCACTTGTGGCCAAGAGATAAGGTGAGCACAGCACACACCCGTGCCTGCCCTCCTCTCTGAGTGATACTGGGTTATCTGGGATACCTGCCTGCTCTAGGGGGATGGTCTGGCAGGGACACATATCCCTGGGTGTAAATACACAAAATGAAATAAACATTTTCATTCTTAAAAACCAACTCTCATCAGAAAGTGGTCTGAAATTCATTTGGTCAAGTAGGAGCTTCTGTAAAACAGATGAGGAGAGAACTTGTTAATAACAAGACTTGCACTGCTCCTATTTTAGAGCAACAAGTTTACTCTAGCAGCTGAGGTCCTCTTCCCTGTGGGTTTGGGCTCCACTGTCCTAGGGAACACCTTGAGGAAAACAAGTGTTGGTAGAGACCAGACCAATGCTACAAGGCCATCGGAGAGAGCAGTTGTGGAGTTCCTCCCTTGTCACACGGGATTTTTAGCTGGTTTTGCAGCAGTGGCTGTGTTTCATGGGGCAGAACCCTTGTGGATATTTGCCCTCCTGTCTCAGAGCTGCTGCCTTGCCTTCACCAATCTAGAGCAATTCAGTAACCCCATGGCTGGGCATTGGGAAGGGCCTGGCCTGTCATGAATGTGGTTTATCAAATGAGAAAGCCCAGGTGAGGCCAGGCAGCTCTTGGAAGATACCAGTGGTCTGCTGAGCACAGGCTGAGATCTGTTAAATGAGGAATGTCACTGATGAAGGACAAGCATTGGCTGTGTTTCTTTTAATTGAATCAGCTCTTTCTTGCCTTCCCCTCTGCCATACTGGGTGGCTTAAAGATCTCTGTTGTGCTTGAGTGACAGGCTGTGTCAGTATGTAGTTGCTTAGTAAGTTTATTAACCTGCAGCTCAATCCAGGCAATGGCTAACTCCAGCTCTTTTTATATTTAAGCAAACTGCATCTAATCTTTTCAATGTATTTTGCTGAGCATGTAATTAAATGAGCATGACCCTGCAGTCTTTGTTGTGAACGCTTCCTGTTTTATAATTATGATGATCTGAGGGACGTAATTTAGGGGTCCTTAATTTTACATAATTGGTGGTACTCCAGGTACAGCAATCTAGTCACAATTTACAATGCCTTAAAAACTTTGGAGTTAAATAGATCTGTATTTGGAGGAATATTTTGGGGATGTGCTTTTTGAAAACTGTAATAACTTGTGTTTCTGCTCTTCAAGGTTTTCAGATGTCATCCTGGCAACAATTTTGGCTACCAAGTCAGATATGTGTGGCAAAAAGTTTGAATTGAAGATCGATAATGTTCGCTTTGTTGGCCATCCCACCTTGCTCCAGCATGCCCTCGGGCAGGTAGGTATGAGATCCCCTCTGGGGACCTGCCTTCTTCACAAACTGCCTGCTTTACTGAGGAAAAACTGCAATTCAGAATGGGCATGTTGGCTTTTGATCCTGGTTTTACTTGCTGATGCTCCAAGCTGTCTTTATTTACTTCTGGGTCAGTGGAGTGAGTGGCAAACTGAGGGAGCTGTCAGTGATCACTGAAACTCTTCTGGTTACTGTAGAGAAGCAGTGTGAGTAAAGAGAAGTAAAACAGGGCACTCCAACTCAAAAAGCTGTTTCTCACTGTTTTAGTTACTGCAAGTTAGCTTTTAGCACCTCTAATTAGTGTGGCAGTTAAAAAAACACCACCGAAAACCTTCACAAATGCTAAAAGCTGCATCAGCCTTGTTTGGCTTTTAACTTTTCCTGAGGCTGAAGATGATCCACAAGACTTAGAAGGAATATGTAGAATGTTGAAAGAGATCTAGAATTTTCTTGTGGACTAAGTCAGGCTGCTGTTTGCATTGAGACCTTCCTCCATGGCCTCTGTTTCAGGTGCTTAGAATGAGAGCAGTTTACCTGGGCTATGTAAAAGGCCCTTCTTAAATCCAGGAAAGAATTCACCTGCTTCTGTGTTTCTAATATTCCCTATCCTGTTCCTTCTTCCTGCTCAACTGTAGGAATGAACTAAAGGTTTTGGTAATTTCTGAATCCAACAATGATCCCTGACACTGAACTGCTTTGGTCTCATTTTTCATCAAATTTGCTAAGTCATTCCTTTTTTCGGGGGAAAAAGAAGTCTGCTTGCCAATTCTATCCTGCTTTCTAGCTATAATTAGAGGTGGAAACAGCTTGTTGGCTGCATGATATTTAGAGGACCAGACTGCTTTAATCCCAGCAAGGAGCTGGTCTAAAACATGAAAAGATGCTACTTTGGGAACTCAGTTGTGAGTCTGCAGGAAATGTCCTGGAGGATCACCAAGATTCAGTCCTGAAAGGTTAAACTCTCTTGGAAGACAGAATTCAAGCATGCCCAAGCTGTGCAGATCCATCAGCAGCCCCAGGCAAGGCAAGTGGGGAACCAGGCCCAGGGTCTGTATTGGGACCCCGGCCAGGAGCAGAAGGGGACAGGACAAGGGTGGGATGTGCCTAAGCAAGGGTCTGTCCAGGAGACAGGCACAGATCCAAGGTCCATCCTGGACACAGGCACAGCTCCAGGCCCTGGCTGAGCTTAAACGGGGCTCCCAGGTCATGGACTCTGGAGGGGGGTTTTGTGTGTGGGAACAGGTCATGGCCAGGGCCATTAAGACCTTTTGGTGCCCTCAAGGCTCTGACAGCAGTGGCCTGTTCTCCCTCAGATCATTTTTCTTTCTTATGTTTATCTCATCTGAAAGGTTTAACTTCCTAAATGTGCTGTAAGCAAGGCTGAAAATTTGTATTTGCTTGTATTTGCATTTTTTTCACCACTTATTATTGTACATTGTTTCCAGTCAGTTTAATCCTAATTGCTAGATGTTACTTCATTTCAGTTTGTCTAAATAAAATTGTATCTGGGCAAATAAATAAAGTTATAAAGAGCTGTAAACACTTTTTTGTTACTTCTGAAGGAACTTCTTTTTGGGTGTGTCTTATCATCCTAGGAGGCACCCCAGAACTTTGTAGAGTCCAGAATCTTCTAGATGTGGCAGCCACCTCTGCTGGTTTGTGTCAGTCTAAATCTGGGACCCTCCTGCAGTTAGGAGGAAGCCAGATGGAGCTGCTTTTCCATGGAGCTCAGGCAGTGTCTGGAGTAACCCAACAGCCTCTGCTTTGAGTTTCCTCAGAATTCATACTGCAGTAAATTAATCCACAAGACAGCTCAGCAAATTCTTACTCCAATGAGATTCAGGAGTTGCAAGAGCACAAACATTTAATCCTGTGTGCCAGATTGCTTTTTATGTAGCAGTGTTCTGCATTCTTCAAATTCCTTCAGCATTTTCCTTCCGAGCTCAGTGTTCTTCTTTTTTCTGGACATGAGTTGATATGAAATCTAGCCTGCATCCCAGCTGATGTTAGTTTCTCTGATGTGAAGGAAGGAACAGGATCAGTCCTTACACTTGGAAATTCACAAGGTGTCCTGGAACCTGTAACTCCAGAACAGATAAACACAGTAAACTGCCTTTACCACTCTCCCATCACTGCCTTTCTGACAGAATACAATTTTCCCTTTAGGACAAAAAAGCCCCCAGAATATGTATCACCTCTTAGTTTTCTAAATGTTGAGACTCCTGAGTGAAAGCAGACAGATTTTGGAATTCAGTCCTGAGCAATTCACTGCTGGTGCTTGGAACCTGTGGGGAAGGGGAGATGCTGCTCTGTGTTTGCCCTGGCTCAGGTGCTGCACATACTTTGGGTAGAGACCAGCTATTGTTTGGCCTGGCAGGTTGGGATTGGGTGGGTGTTGAGCAGGGGGCTGCAGGGGAGCTGGGAATGACCTCTGCATTTTGTGCTCCATCTTGTGGCGACACGTGCTCCCTTCGGTGTTGGTCTGGCTGTGCAAATCCCATTTGCTTGTGTCAGCTCCAGCTGTTTCTTCTCACTGGAAAGTTTGAATCTGCCTTAGGAATGGAGCTCTCTGCTACAAAGAGAATAGAGGGGCTGGATAATGTGTTTGAAATCCTGCAGGAAGGGAAAAATCAGACCTTTTATTTTAGTACTGCTCTTCTAGAACATATTTTGTCTGATAAAAGCAGTAGCTTGTAACAGGATGAAATTTGAATGGGGATTTTAGGAAAGGAAGGAATAGGTGTGGCCTATTCCTAAGGTCCCTAATGATGCTAAGTGTAATGACAGAGACACTAAGTAAGAGTGCTGTCTTAACTGACACTCATTTCCATGCTTGTGACTTAAAGGCTTTGCTTAAGTCTTCACAGTTGCTCAGCAAAGGCAGTGTTGTAGAGTAACTGTGACACTCCAGTTAAAAACAAAAGCATAGTTCTATTTTTTGCCAGTTGTATTTGATATTATATGTTGAATTGTCTGCTCTCTTTCTCAGCTTGTTATTTAACTATTTTTAAATTATTTTTTTTTTTATTCCTGTCGTTCTGTTAATGTCTCCAGCTGACACTAGCTGATGGGATTTTCTAAAAAATATTTTTCAGGTATCCAAAACTGACCCCTCACCAAAGAGAGAGATGCCCACCATGATTCTGTTCAATGTGGTGTTTGCACTAAGGGTAAGGACTGTCTCCATTCCATCTGACAGTGAGATGTGCCTTGGATGCATGAGACAATGCAGTAGCTCACACTCCAGGCTTGTTTTATGATTAATGGCCAGTGTTAGAAAGCTGCCTCCTCTCAGCAGTGAGGTCACTGCAAAGGGAGAGTGCCAGGGAGCAGCAGCTGAGCAGCTAAATGAGAAGAAGGTACAAGTGAAGAATAAAGAGGTTTCAATGCTCAGCAAAAACCTGGAACAAATACTTAGTTTCTGCCTGGAACTTTTTTTCAGGCTTCCTCTATTAACTAGATGCTGGTATTAAGGGATCCTGGCTTGGCTAATTAGGTGTATAAAGCCCTGGAAATTTCATTATATTCAAGCATTGCTTGATTTCTGAGCTCTGGCTTTCTTTTCCCAGTCCACAGGTTGTTTAAAAATAAAAGAGGGAGCTAGAATAATCATCTTTGTGGAAATGGTTGATTTGTGCTCGACTGGATGTAATGTCATGATTTAAAAACCTCCAGCTCCCTGCTTGTGAAGGGATTATTTTTTTCTTTTAGCAGTAGTACTTTTCTTACCATTGGCTTTGCAGTGGTGACATGGACATGGCCCCAGCCTGCTTGGCTTGTCCTCAGATGAGGAGCAAGGTTTCACACAGGACAAGTACCTGAATCAAGCCAGAAATTGTTTACAGAGCTCTGCTGGGAATCCTATGTTCCTGTGCTTTAGGACACTCCTGGGTCAGGGAGTGCTGAATTTGCAATGGAGGAGTTGATTTTAGATTTCACATGTTAAGAGATGTTGTTTTGGTGATCTGTTAAAGTCCTGAGCTTTGCTTGCAGGGAGGTGTGTGTAGATGCACCTTCAAACACACACATTGATGCACACTGAGCCATGTGGTAGCAGAAGTGCTGAAACCAATGAATTCATTCACAGTGAAGACTAGCCCGCATTTTTCTGGAATTTAATTTCTAGTTCTTCTAGGAAAACTTGCTTTCTTTGCCCTTCAGCCCTGTGATGATACTGATGTAATTGTGTGTGTGTTACAGCACAAAATCCATTTGCCAAATGAGACACTCTTGGTTCACAGGAAGCAGTCAGGTTTCTGAAAAGTGTTGGGCAAGAAGCAAGTGGAAATTTTTTCCTGGGATGGAGCAGTGCAGTGCAGGAGCTGGGTGGAGGCCCTCAGAGATAAAGATGAGTGTCCATCTGCAGTGGGCAGACAGAGCAGGCAAAGGCCCAAGTGTGATAATCAGCACTGATCCTGCTGTGTTTGAGCTTCAGGGCTACCAACGTGGCGTGACTCAGCAAGAACAGCAGAGTCAAAAAATGATGAGTCACGGTTTGCTGGTTTCTGTGCCAAGTGGTCAGTTGCCAGAACTTTAAATTCCTTTAAAAGTCTTAACAAACACGAAGCAGCTGCTGACTCATGCTGGAGCTAGTGAATTCCCCCTCACCCCCCTTGGCAGCTGTACTGATGTGATAGATTTTTCCAGCACTTTCGTTCTGGGACTTTCATAAATGCAGTGTTAGTAATAAGCTATATTTGTGATTTTTTGGGAGCATAGATCCAAATTAATTCAGATTTGGGATGAAAATATTGGTCATGAGCTGGTAATTGTTACCTAGTTACTGCCTTGTCTGGACATGGGACAAACACCAGTGTGGCAACATGGAGTTAGTGGGACATGTTAAAGGCACTGCAGCCCTTGTGCTGCCAGTGAGTTTAACCTGAACATTGGGATATTCTGCCTTTTCAAAAAGCTTGACACTTTCTTGTCTCACTGTGTGAAGTTGAGGTCTTTGCTCTCTGCTGGTAGAAGGCCTGTTAACAACTGGAAAAACAAACCAGACAGGGCTATCCCTCCCCAGGTGTGGTGTTCCTTTCATGCACTTAGACGAGCTTAGAAATCCAAATTACATTTAGACACCCCTGAGCTTCTGCTTGGCTACGGGTAGAGAAAATTCTGTTCTTTATCCAGTCAAGAGGCTGATTTTCGGTCTGAATGGAAAACCATTTGCCTGTTCCCCATCGTGCCTGTGGTTGCACGTGCCCGTGGCTCAGTGGCTGCTCGCGCTCCCCGCAGGCCAACGCGGACCCGTCCGTGATCAGCTGCCTGCACAACCTGTCGCGCAGGATCGCCATCGTCCTGCAGCACGAGGAGCGCCGCTGCCAGTACCTCACCCGCGAGGCCAAGCTCATCCTGGCCATCCAGGACGAGGTGTCTGCCATGTCAGAGGGTGAGTGCTTTCAGCAGCAGGGGCTCTGAGCTGGAGCTCTCTTCCAGAGAGGTGCTGGTTGTGCCTTCTTGCTTCTCTTGTGCCTGGGATCACTGTGAACAAGTTTTGGTGCTCTGTAGCATTCTGACAGCTTTTGACAGCTTTTCCCTGCATTTTGCCTCAGCCAAGTTCACTATCCCTGTGCAGAGATGTGAGTTTTAGAGGTGAAGTAGTCTCTTTGCTGTCTTTGCTAGTTAAGTTCAGCACAATCCCTGGAGACTGTGCACTGATCCATCATGTTTGCCTCTCCCTGTCAGGCTGATATGGAAGAGCTCCTGTGTGGCCTAGAGCAAGTTTTGCATGCTTTAATGCTGTCTGCTGAGTCACCAGACTCCTTATGTGGAAGCTTCACTCTTTTGTGCTGTTACCTGACTAGCAAACAGTTACAGAGCATTTTTATAGAGTGTACTTGGAAAATGCTGTGTAACTGTAATGCTCATAACAGTATGTACTATTTAAGGTGAACTCTTGACAGTGATGCATATCTTGCTGCAAGCATTAAAAATTAAAGCCAGCATCTAGAAAAACAAAGCATTTAAAGTCATCATTTGTCAAATTTGGTTACATGTGCTTAACTGAGGTTTAGCAGAAGTTGGCAGTAATTCACTATTATCATCTTAACATGTAACTTGAGTTATTGTAAAAGATTTGAAAGATAATTGTAGATTAAAATTATACAAATTCTGTCCCTAAGATACATGTTGATACCCAGTGGGGGAAGAGGAAACTCTTTGATTTGAAGTCAGTTATTTACTTTCTTGTTTGGAATCTTTCTGTAGCCACAGAAGGGCCCCAGTCACCTTTTCATCACATCCTACCCAAGTGCAAACTGGCCAGAGATCTCAAAGAGACATATGACAGGTAAGCTGGATTTTAGTCTTAGCTCCTAGTATGCTGTTTCTCATTGAAATCTCTTGGCTTTGTTCCTAAGGATATTATCCACTTCCTCGTGCTGTTAATCAATGGGATTTGGGTTTTAAACCAGGCAGAGCAATGTGAAGCCTGGAAGTCAGATGAAATGTTTGCAGAATTGCTATCCTAATCATTACCTTAGTCTGTCTTTGGTGTCTCGTTCTTAAAAGCTGATGATGTCTGTCACAGCTTTAAGAATTATTATTATTTTCTTCCTTAGCACAGGGCCATCTGTTGACAAGTGAAATGCAGAACTGCCAAGTGTCATAACAGGGGCATCACAGCACTGGGGAAGTGCTCTAAACCTGCAGCTAAGGGGAAAGTGCTGCAGGAGCACTGATGGCAAGTCAGGTACTGCTCTTGCCCCATTTGTGCATGTCTGGACAGCAAATTTGGATGAGATGCTGAGACTTCCAGCAGAATGGAAGGTGTAACATGCTGTTTCTTGACTGGATTAGAAGTTCTGGCAAAGTTCAAAGCAGTGTGGGGTTCTTGTTGAACTTTAGCAGGAGTCTGTGCCTGTCAGTGCTGCCTCCAGGGACCCAGAGGCTCCTGCAGCTAGGAGTGTGCTTGGGGAAGGGCCTGGACAGACGGACACAGAACCTCTCTATGGGGGGGAAGATGCTGTGGCCCTTGCTTGGGGTGTTTGCCAGGGATTCAGGGAATCAGGCTGGAGTTCCTCAGGGAACCCTTTATCCTCCCTGGGTTGTGGCTTCTCATGTACAAAGGGGATCAGAGCCCTAGAAGGAAGGCATTGGGAGCCTAAATAATATAATGGTTGCAAAGAGCATCAGAAAACTTCTACTAAGCTGCTCTTTATGTTCCAGAGCTGTGAATTTCATCTTGTTTGAAGAGATGTGGTATATGGTTCCACAGACCTTGCACAAAACCTAAGTACTAAAGTTTAAGTACTAAACTTTTAAGTAAGGAAGTTTTTATGCAGCCTGTAATTCTAATATTCCAATTATATTTATCTGTTCCTCTATGGCTATGTATTTATGACTGAGCAAACTCTAATCGTGTTTCCAAATATTTTAGGGACACAGTGACATCTTGTGGCATTTAGCTGTGACTGTAGCAACACAGAGCCCGAGCTCATGGACTGTGCTGATGTGAGCCTTCCCAGAGATAAGGAGGAGTAGACAGACCATGGAGAAATACACTTTGGTGCTGCCCCCAGCTGTAAAACAAGGCAGTTTCTCCCTCATTGTGAGTGGGGAAGAAGTGGTGCAAGTTGGATTTTGACACTTTTGTATGACACTGTCAAAAGCAAATGTAAGACCTTACTGGTGTTGGTAAAAATCTGAAGTGCCTGTGTGCTTGATTGGAAAGTTGTACTTGAAAAGGAGCTGACAGTGCTGTTGGGTGATAAGGAGATGTTCTGCAGGGTTTTTCTATTAATACTTCATATGAGAGCATAGGAAATATGCTTGTTATACCTGCAGTCACATCAGCTGGGAGGAGCTGCTGCACCTTGCCAGGCAGGCATAAATTTAAAATGATTTTTTAGTAAGATAGAAAAAGGGTTTTAGAAATACAATTTTCTCCAAGATGAATTAATTATTCCTGTGTGGCAGCAGCTCTGGAGTGAAGCCTGTGTGGTCTTCTGTGAAGTGAGGGTTAGTCATAAGTGACATGGGGTTACAAAAAAAACCAGATAGACAAGAATGCATAAAATAAGTCTTGTCTGTAAGATAGGCACCAATCCTGCTCACAGTTGTAAAACTCCTGCTGTAATGACTATTTAATCTCGTTTGGACACCACATTTCAAGAGGGATTTAGGCCACCTAGAGAGTGTGGAGGAGTGTGAATGACCTCAGAGGGAAGATGGAAAGATTTGCTCTGTGGCTTTTAAAGGAGAAGGGAGTGCTGGGAAGGGCAAACCTTCGGATGCATGCAGTGACAATGTGCTGTTCTGAATTTACAGAGAATTCTGGCATAGCCTTTGGCTGTAGGAGAACAGCCAGTGGAGTGGAGAGAGCACTTTGAATTGCAGATGGAGCCCAGCTCTCCGTTTGAGATTTGCTCCAACCAGCATTTCCAAGTGCCTGCTGATTTCTGCAATTGCAGCCCAGTTTCCAGGGTTGCTCCAGAGGTGCTGTCGAGCCCTTGGCTTCCTGTAGATGGTGCTGAGGTATTTCAGGCAAGACCCAGCATGTCCCTGAGCAAGTTGGTTTGTGCAAAACCACAAGTAGAGGAATATTTCTGTTCTTCAAAGTGTTCCTTGGTTTTGAATGAGATGCTTGTGTTCCATAAGGCAGGATCAGTACCCAGGACATCTTGACTAGCAATGGAGTGGTATTAACACTGACAGCTCAGAGGCTTTCAGCTTCTACTCCCTGGGACATTTTGTCTCTAATGGAGAGAACTAGAATGTTTCTTTTTGATTAATTCAGAAAATTGAGTCTTCATCTCGTCCCCAAACTGAAGCATTGGTGTGGAACAGAAAGAAATGGTTTTTAGGCCCAGGAAAGTTTTCAGGACTTCCAGTGCTGAAAATCTTACTGGTATTACAATATGTGTTTCTTTTGAGGAGCTTTCACATAGTTTTATTTGCAACTGTAGATAATGTGTGAGTTTGATAGTTACTAACTGCCTGTCTTGTTCTAGCAAATTTCTTTTAGCTTTGCATTGGAATAAAAGTGAAAGTATGGAGAGGTTTTGGGGGAGGTTTAGGTTGTTTGTATTTTCTTTTTAGTACAGAAAGAGCCTTTATAAATTTTTAGCCTCGTGGGACTTAACTGTGTGGTAGATGTAGCCCATATCAGTTCAGGGAATAATTCTATAAGACTTAATGTTATTTCTTTGGCTGTGCTGTAAAATATAATTCAACTACAGTTATTTATCAAAGGACAGCCTTTTGTCCTTTATAAGGAAATGTGAAATCATTTCAAAGCTCTGAGTAGTCACAACCTCTAGGAAAAAACAAACTCCAAAGCTACACACTCATCTCCACCACACTCAAAAACATGGGGCTAATTTCTGATATAAACAGGATAGATGTGATATGAGGTGTGTATATGTAGGGATTCATAACTCTTTTATAAATGTGAAGGGGGATTTCTTTGTTTTGCCAATAGTTATGGAAAAGGCTGCAGTTCTGGGAGATGCTGGCAAACTTTCATGTTCTCATTTTGGGGCAGTAGCTCACAGTTCAGGACACAGCAGAACAGAGCAAAAGAGCAGTGATAATCCCTAAAATATTCCCCAGCTTCCTGCAGCTCTGGAGCAGTTTCTGTACATTCAGCAGCTTTCAGCTGATCTCACTTCCCGGAATTAGCCCACAGTCCTGTGAGCCAGAGCAAATATTGAACAACCACAGCATCCTCTGATAAGGAGGTCCATGGCTTTAACTACTTTTTGTGTTTCTTTCTATTTCTTCTGAACTTTGCTCCTTCTTGTATCGTGAGATGTCTCATGGGCTCTTATGATGGAGAGACATTAAACAGCTTTTTCCTGTTTGCCTCTCCCTGTCTCAATTTCTAGCTCTGTTATCTGATCATCCTGATCCTTGGCCATGTATCCCTCAGATCGCTCATCAGGTCTTACCAACCAGAGATTAAAAAAGAAGTGTTGAAACAAAGTTTTTATGGAATAAAATGTCTTGGAAGGTTTAATACCCTCTTGCCTGAATGTTTGTGTCTATGCTGGGGTCATTATTTAACTCTGCTGGCTGGCCAAGGGCAGTTGCAAGTGTTGCTGCTGGAGGGTGTAGCTTGTTCTTGTCAAATTACAGACACTTAATTATTTTCCATCTAAGGAGGGGCAGGTGAAGGAGAAATTGTGTTCATAAAGCTATAATGAAGGCTGGAAATTGTACAGCTGAATGCAAATGCAGAAGAATAAAATTAAGATCCAGATCAGAACTGAAAATCTGGTTTTCTTGTTGTCTTTAATTCTAGGCTCTTGTTGTACAGTGCACTGTAGACAAAATTATGCTGTGGAGAGTGTAATTATGTAATTAAAGCTTTTGCCTTTAGTGCACTTGGACCAAACAGTGAAAGGAACCAACTGGATCTTTGTCTGAATGTCAAACTCTGCAGGGAAAATGACCCTGCAAGTGTTTCATGCTTTCATGTATCTCTGCTGCTCTTGGGTAACCTGTTTTTACAACCCCAAGAGCTTTCAGGTGGTCTCTGAACTCACTTGTCCCATTCCTTTATTGCCATGTTTCCCCTTGTGAGGATTTGGCCTGGGAGATGGTGTGGATACCCACAGCTTCAGCTCAAAATACATACATCCCTGATGTATTTTGAGGGAATCCAGCTTTATCTGTCAGTTGTTTGTGGTGGGATAGGCAGTGTTACTGGAGCTGCAGCATTTAATGAACTAAACCAGAGGTGTTTGTGCTTTGCATGTTCCTTTAGGGCTGGGAGCCTCTGAGCAGATCAGAGCTGGTGGGGGCAGAGAAACACTGGATTCACCCTCTCAGTGCCTTTTAAAAAGAGGAAAACACACGGTATCTGCTCCATTTGCAGCTTGAAAAATCAGCATTTTCCAGAGCTCCATGCAAGATTTGAGAACAAAACCTTTTGAAAAGTGTTGTGTGCAGTGAGATGTTGCCCATGAGTCTGGTCATGTGCGAGGTGGGAGGGGATGCTGTTTGCTCTCTCACCACTCTGTTGTGGTTTGGTGAGTAGTTGCACCAGCAGCCAAAGCTACCCAGTGTTTTTGTTTAAAGCTGAAATTTCTGCTCTCTCCAAACCCTCCACACAGCCAGATGAGCTTGAATAAGAACATGTTAGTTTGTGACCTGCAGTTGAATCTGGTTATAAATGGTTAAATCATCACATAAAGACTTTTCCAGATGTGTATTTGCTCCTGGCCTGTTCCTGGAATGTTTTTTAATCTGTTTTGTGTAGAAGGGGAAATTCATGGCAGTTATTGACACAAAAGTCAAATTGCAAGTCTCAACACGCTTTGAATTTAAAATTAAGGCTGGAATTTTCAGAATGCAAACTTTGAAATTTGATTTTAAGCCAAAAAGCATTCTTTGGAAAGAAAGTTTAAAACTGAAGGGCATTGACAAATTCAGTTCTCAGGTGTAGAGCTTGAGATAGATTAGTTTTTGTGTTCCTAACTCATGAAAAGGTGTGGTGGACCTTGCTGCTTCCTCCCAGCACAGCTGTTCCCAGGCCAGCATTCCCTGCCTGTGGAATGGGAATATTGTGAGGGTTTGCAGGGTGGTGCTGCCTTAGCTCCTTATGGTACATTCCCCATTTTAAGTAAATATAGTTCCCTCCTGGGGTGTATTCCACCTCTTGTCTAGATTTGCAGACTTCTGTAAAGCACCTGAATGATGATCCTGGCTCTAATCTCCAGCTTTTTGGATTTTTTTTTCAGTAGAAGAGGCTTATTGTTGCTTTCAGGCTGAGCTCCAGGGTCTGACTTTATTGTCTTTGTTATTCCTGGGACATCCATTGCTTCCACTCCAGTCCTGTTGTCTGGAGTCAGCTGGAGGGTTTAGCTCAGTCCCTGTGGTTTCCTAGAATGAAGAAACCATGTAACAGGCACGTTTGTGATTTCATGTAACAAGCAGGAAGAGGTTAGTAAGGAAACAAACAACCTAAGCAGAACACAAGGAGGCTGTTATTGTGGAAATGTGCTGCTTGGGACAGCCCTTGCCCAGTACAGACATCCTCTTTTCCTTTTGCTTGGAGGGGAAGATGGAAATTGGAGGTGAAAACATTGTGCCCAGTTCATCTTTGCCCTTTGCAGTTTTGACCTAGAGAATTTTCCTTTGCCTTGCAGTGGATCTTGAATAAACTTTTTTAACTTAAGACACTGCTGCAATGTTAAGGGCAGAGGGAGCAGAAGGTCAGTGGTGAAGTCTTTCAGTTCTCCCTCAAAATGCTCTAGGGGATGGTGCTCTGTGTGTCCAGCTGTGGGGGCCCTTGCAGTTAGGAGTCAGCTGGTCCTCAGCCAGCCTGGGGACAGACAGGGTGCAGTCTTTTCCTGTCCTGATCTGATTTCTGTGCAGGGGTGACCCTGGACCACTGTTCTCATTTGTGATTCAGGGTAAATGCTGTATGGATTGATTGCCTTCCTATTTTAGTCTCTGCACGACAGGGGTGGTTCGTTTACACATCAACAACTGGCTGGAAGTGAGTTTCTGCCTTCCTCACAAAATCCACTATGTTGCCACCAACTTCATACCCCCAGAAGCAATCGAGAGAAGTCTGAAATCCATCAGGTAAGAGCAAGCTCTGCCCCTCAGAGTGTGGCCAGTCCTTGCTCCTGTTCCAAGGGTGATGCTGCAGATGCCTGAGGTGGCTCAGGCAGGGGGATGGTGTGACTGGGCTGTGGAGCAGACAGAGCTCCCTGGAGCTGCTGCCGTGGCTCTGTGGTGCTGCTGGATTCATGGTGGTTGGAAGCCACAGCCTTGGTGTTCACTTTAGGTGCTTGTACTGAGGGGATGCTGCAAGAGTGGCCTGCACTGTTTGCAGCCAGGAATTGTGTGTTCATTTTAATCTGTTGGTCCAGAAGTAATTCTGCTTTTGGAAGAGAGAGCCCTGGTCCTGTGATACCTTATTTCCTGTGTTTGTTTACCTGCAAAAGTAATTAACTTCTGCTTTCTTCCTTTCTTCTACTCCATTCTGTATTTCAGTAATGCAGATGAGCAGTTCTCAGACTTGTTCTCAATTGTGTGCCAATGCAGTGCAGTCTTTTTTCCTTGTCACTGGGGTATCCAGTTACCATATAACCCTCTGTCTCCTTTTCACAGGGAGCCTCTTATGCTGTAGCATTAAAATAAGCTGATTTTGAACCCAGTTAGAGCAAAAGGATGATATTAGAAATTCTTTTTTTACCATTACATTGACCCCAGCTATCGTGGTGTGGGAATAACAAAGCCTTCAGGAAAAGCTGCAGTTTACTGTGCAAATGTATTCTATTTTTCTGCAGGCCTTACCATGCCTTATTACTTTTAAATGATGAGAAGTCATTGCTTAATGAGCTCCCGTTGGACTGCTCTCCTGCCCTGGTGAGAGTAATTAAAACTACCTCTGCTGTGAAGAATTTGCAGCAACTGGCTCAAGATGCTGACTTGGCATTGCTGCAGGTACGGGGAGCTGTCAGCAGCTGCTGAGAGCTCTTTAAATCACGAGGTGTTTTCTCCTGTGTGCCCGTGGGCTTGTGTGGGGCAGGAGCATGGCAGCTCCCTCGATGTGAGCACAGAGCAGGGAGAGAAGGTACCTGCCCTGGAGCCTGGGGAAGGGCTGGAGAAACAAAGGCAGGGGTGCAGGGACAGTGCTGGGCAGCCCTGCAGCCACAGTCTTGGATGAGAATCCCCATCCTGGGAGTCTCTAGTCCCCATCCCAGGTGTCTCTAGTCCCCATCCCAGGTGTCTCTAGTCCCCATCCCAGGTGTTTCTAGTCCCCATCCTGGGGCTCTCTACTCCCCATCCTGGGGGTCTCTACTCCTCACCACTGCTCAGGACAAGTCCATTAAACCAGGCTGATGAAAACTTGTGAGCACCTCCAGGGCTGCCTTCCACAGCCTCTCTGGTCCAGCACCTGACCAGCACAGAGTGAAACCTTTCCCCTTATCTAGCAGGAATTTCCCATTGTTCTCCTTGTGTTTGTTGCCTCAGGACTATCCCTGTGTCCCTCTGAGGAGAGTGGTTCTGTCTGCTCTGTGCCTCCTGTTTGGTAGTTAAAGCACAGCAGGTTGTACTCCTGACTGACACCACAGTGGCCTGTCTTGGTCCTGCCACGTTGATGTTTACATGCAAATGAAGCACCCAAAATGCAAGTGCAGGTTTACAGCTGCCATGGCCAAATATGTTGCTTCCCCTGGAGCTGCCAAGATCTTTTTACTGAAGACTTGTGAATGCTTGTACAAACCTTCCCATCCATTTCCCTTAGTCCATTAGTGCACAGACTTGGCAGTCATGAGAAGAAGATTTATTTTAGGCTTGGGCAAAGACTTTGAGCCAGTGTCCCCAAGCCAGCAGCTCTTTCCAAATGCCCTTCCAGTAGTGACAACCATCTCTCAAATCTGAATTGCTGGAGGTGACGTGATGAGCCCTTGGAAAGGGAAGTTTGAGCCAGTGGAGGGATGAGACTCACGTGAGTTGTGAGGTCACTGAGAGACCCCTGTGGATGACTGTGATCATTTGGGATGATTGCATGAGCTGATCCCAGAGAGGGAAGGGCTGCTCCATGCTCCTAAGGGTCCATCCAGCCCCAGGGACACAACCTGTGCTCTGTGTGACAGGGGAAGCACAGCTCATCATCACATGCTCTCCTGGTCATAGGTCAGTGCCTTCTCCTGTTCCAAGGGAAAGGTCCTGCTTTGTAATAAAACTCCAGGTCTGCCTGCAGTGGTCTGTGGTGTTACTTGGCTATGGGATGAACTCTGGAAATTCCCTACTGCTTCTGTAGTTTCGTTCTCCACAAAAAAGCACAGTTAAGTGCATCTAATGATACAGGCTGGATTTTATGTCTTGTAGACACTATTTATGTGGCTTTTCCAGAGCCATTAGCAACCACTGACTTGTTTAACACATTAAAATACTTTATGTAGTTCATTACTGAAATACCTCCATGCACTAAAAAGGCAGTATTGGTTTCCTTTATGTTTCTGTCATAGTAGAAACTGATTCTTTTGTTTTAGTTTTCATGTATAACACAATGCATTTTGTGCATCAAGCAATATAGTTTTGAGGTGCATGAAAAGAAACTACACTTCTATTGATACAGTTTGAAGGAATTCCTTTGAGGCAGGAAATACTAAGTTGCTTAGAAATGTGAAGCGAATCTCTGGAAATTCATAACCTTGTCAAATGCTTTTTGATCTGCCACATGTTATATTAAACCATGAATTTATTCTGAAGGCAGAGTGAAAGGATGGAACATTTTTCTTTCAACTCAAACGAGACTTTTTGTTGTTGTATGCAACGCTTGCTGAGAGTTTGTATATTGATTTTTGCTCCCCTAATTTTTCCCTGTTTTCTCAATACAGGTTTTCCAGCTTGCAGCACATCTTGTTTACTGGGGCAAAGCAATTATTATTTATCCTCTTTGTGAAAACAATGTCTACATGCTTTCTCCAAATGCCAGTGTCTGCCTGTAAGTAGAAGGAAAATGTGTTGGTGGCAGCACAGTGCTGAGGAGTGCAGATGCACTTTCCTTCCCTGACTGGATACAGAGTGGGATCTTTCTTCATGAATTTGTTGAGACTGTGCAAAGCACAAACCATTACATGAGCCTGAACTTGCACAGCCAGTGTGGGCAGGGAGGACAATATTCCTCCGTGCTGTTGTGGGCCCTGAAAGCAATATTTACCATGTGGAGCTGCTGTCAGTATTTTTACTTGTCCTGCTCACTAAATATCCAATATGGGAACATTTACAATCTGAAATACTTTATGATTAAGTTAAAGGCGTGGTTTATAGGGCTCTCTGTGTAGCTGACATGAATCAAAAGCAGCAAAAGTTGCCATTGTGTTGTTTCACGTGCTGCCATTCCATACTGTGTGCCTTGTCACAGACAGAAGGCACCACGGCCATTTGGAGAGCAGGCAGAGCCACTGCTAGGAAGATGTGGAGGCAGGGGAGGGTATTTTTGCTCGGCTGAAGATTGGCAACCTTTCCTCTGTTGGATTTTGAGATGCTTTTAGAGTCTGTTTGGAACTCAGTTATAGGAAAATCGTTTTAAATCAAAACTTTGATGATGGAAGTATAAAAATAGTGCTGGAAGGGACCTTGAGGTCATTCAGCAGCAACTGTGCCTGTGTCAAATATGGCAGTGCTGTTCCTAAAAACCTTTGGAGATGGAAATGCTAAGACAGACAGTTTTCCTGATATTTAACTTGACTATCTTTTACTTTGTTCAGTCATATTTCTTGACCTGTCAGCATGGGGAGGGGGCACAGCCACATCTGCAGCTGCAGTTGGCACATTCAGCAGTCATGTGTGTATCCTGCCCAGCCCTGCCCAAGCTCTGTCCCTTTCACCAGAGGCTGCACAGGTCTGGACTTTTTATCACTTTCACTGTTCTCCTCTGGATCCCCTCCAGCCTTGAATGAAGTGCTGGAGCTGAATGTAAGGCTGAGGTGGAAGTGCAGGAGCTCCTGGCTGGCTTCTGCAGGACACAACATGCCATCAGCTATGCTTAGGGGTTTTCTAGATCACAGGGAATATTACATTTGGGAATTGGCCCTTCTGCAGTGCTTAACTGGATCCCAGTTACCCTGAGCAGCACTGCAGAGCTGATCTGTGCCTTTGCCTCTCTGCTGCAGGTACTCTCCCCTGGCAGATGCCTTCTCCTGTCAGTTCCGGGGTCACAACCTGCCCTCCATGCTGGCCAAGTTCTCCCTCCCCGTGTCCCTCTCCGAGTTCAAGAACCCGCTGGCGCCGCCCGTGCAGGAGGTGAGCTGGCCCTGCCCAGAGCTCCTTGTTCTGCTGCTCACAAGGGATGGTGCTGCTCCTGGAGCACTCGCCCAGGCACTGCTGTTGCACATTTACAAGTTCCCAGTTACTGTGTTTGCAGCCTTATGATTTGTTGTTTCGTGTCCTTGTGCCAAAAAGCTGTGGGGATGTTCAAGGTGAGAGGATGCTCTGTGCTGGAAAAGCACAGTCCTAAAAGAAGTATTAGAATGTTTCTTTTCATGGTGTGATGTAGTAGGCAAAACTGAAACTCCATTTGGTCTGTTCTGAGCTGTTACCAATTGGTAGGGCTGAATCAAGTTTGTGGATTCCTCACAATCACATTTGATTTTATTCTATTCCATCTGCTCCAAGCTCACAATCTGTTTTTAAAAGCAATCTGTCTGTTCACTTGGTTTTGCTGTAAAACTGGAATTGTTAAAAGGCTTTTGGAGGAAGCAGGCTCAGCATGGGGTCAGCAGAAGTCCATGTGTCACTGCATTAGCTTCTGAGAGTAAAGAACTGTGTTAATAAAATATGGATTTGGGATTTGTGAGCTGTTTCGCTTGTGCATCGATCATGGCTTGTGGCATTTCTGGGAACTGGTGGAACACAGGAAGGAGCTCAATAACGTGAGGTCTCCTGGCTGAGTCTGCTCTGTTCCCAGATGGAGGAGCCTGGACCTCTGGCTGTGCTCAGTGTGGCAAAGGAAGCACAGACAGAGTTCTTTGGCCGGCTTCTCATGGTGTTTGTTTCTGGCCTTCAGACTTGAGTGCCTTGGTGGCTCCATGGCTTCAGCCCCTGCTCAGATACAGAGAAGATTACCATCACCTGTGCACTCCAGCACAGCTGTGAGGGAAGAATTGGCTGTAATTATAGGTTCACAGAGATGATGATCGGAGATAAAAATAAGTAATGATGTAGGTCTAATTCCAGGAGCATGTACTGGTCAGCTGCAACCTTGGGAGGCAGGGGAAGAGCAGGATTCCACTCCAGTTACAGACAAATAAGTATCCTGAAAATTGAAGCTGAAGTCATAGCATTAATTTCATTATAGCTGCAGTAGCTTCAGGAGACATTCTCAGTAATCCTTTTAAAATTAATTACTTGCCTTAATAATTCTCCTTCAATAGTTCTGGTTGTTCTCAGATGTCCTACTTTTGTTTAAAATACATGAATAAGTGTCTGTCACTTACTGCTGCAGTTATGCCTTGAAACAAGGGTGCAATAAATGCTCACCAGAGCTGATGGAGTGCTCAAGTGTTTTTTAGTGTGTACCTTCCCCCTGCTGCTCCCCTCTCTGTGGTGGGGTCCTAAGGATCACCAGCACAGCTTGCTTTCTTCCTCCTTTCAGCCTTATGGGAAGGATGGAGGATGATGCTGGGAAAAGCTGTGGCTTTTTTGGTAAAGCAAAGTGTGGCAGTTCTTAGGGAAGTTTAGATTAGAGCGAGTTTTTATGTATTTTTGTATCAGTACATTTTCTTCTACTTTGATTTACCTACATTGGACTTCTTGTATTATTTTTTTTCAGTCTTTTAAGAGATGTGACTCCAATCCCTGCCCTGAAGTGGTCAGGCTTTGTAATTACAAAAGATCTAATCAATAGAGCAATTAATCTAATGAAATGTGGGTGGGCTTTTGTTCCACTGTGCTGTGATAAAAGATGTTGTACTCTGAACTGTAAATATTGTCAAAATGTATTCACTTTGCCTTTAAAAAAAAAAAAGTAGCAAAGGTGGGACTTCTCTCTGTAGTTTTGTTCTTTGTGTGCACAGGAGGGGATGTGAGTTTTTTTAGCTTTAAAGATTTCCAGTGGTTTTCTGTTATCTTGTGCTTTTCATCAGGCTGAGGGCACTGTTTGTGCTCCTGAAGGTCACTGTGCTGAGGGTCAGTACTGTGGGAGGGGTGTATCTTCTGCAAAACTGTTGTGGCCTCATGGCATCCATGGCATCCATCCCATTTGATTCTTCTCTTAAGCTTGGGATTGGCTCCCTGCTTTTGGCACGTGCTTCTGGATGGGTAAAAAATACAGAAGGCATTAATAAAGCCCACCATAGGAAATAGGAGAGATCTCAGAGCCCTTCCTGTTTTTATACAAAAATATTGCTTGATTTGAAAGGGGACAACGTTATTTTTGTTCAATTACCATTACATGAGTGGAATTCCTCTATCCCTTTGGGTAGATGAAAAAAAAAGTGACACTCATTTTTCTACTTGGTGTGCTGTGGTATTTTGTGGCTGGTAGGAGATATGAACAACCTGATCAAGGACAGGACTGCCTTGGGAGTGCATGGCTGAGTTCTGCTTTTGCTGTCTGCCTGTCAAGTAGCTGGGAGGTGTCAGGTGAGTGGTGTGTGCCAGGCCTGCCAGTGCTCTCAGCTGTGCCCTGTGCCACAGGCTGAAAGTCTTCATTGTGTCATCTTGAGCTCTTTTCCTGCCTGAGGTGAGGAGCACTGTATTGCAGTGGAAGCCTGGTCAGTGTGTATCTGTTAGTTGAGAAGATTTTGGTATCCTTGCAGTGCTCCCTGCTGCTTCCCTTTCTCTGTGTTTCCCTTGGGTTCCCTGGGACAGCAGCAGGGTGAGGATGAGCCCATGGCCCCAGCTCAGCTGCTCTCAAGAGATCTCAGTGCTGTTGAGCTGGGGCCCTGCTTTTCCTTGCCCCTCCCAGGTGTGTGCACACACGAGCCTTCCTCCCTTCCCTTTTCCCTTTCCTGGAGCTCTGGCTCCTGTCCAGCCTGACTGTTCATTTAACCTGTTTCAGCTGCAGAAGTGTTCTGCCAGGTTAGCAGGTGGAATTCACTCAGGGAGATCCAGTGAGCTCCAGGGCTGGCACAGAGGGAGGGAGGTGATTTCTGCAGAGCTTGTGCAGCTCAGGGGTGAGGGAAGCAGAAGCTGTTCTCCCCATCTCACAGTGAGTTGTCCCTTAACTCCATTGTGACTTCTCACCTCACCAGGACTTGCTGCAGTGCCTGGGTTTGTCCTGGATCTCACCAGGGTGCAGCCACGGTGTGGGGAGATCCTGTGAGCACACACCAAAGGGAACTCACCTTGCCTTTTGGTGTTTTTGCTGGAAGAGAAGCAGTTTGCATCTGCTCTACCCCGAGCCCAAAGCAGCTGTCCTTGCTCTGCTGCCTGTGGCTGTTGGCTCGTGCCCCTGTGCTCTCCTCCTCTGAGTGGCACAGCCTTGCTGTGAGTGCAGGGCACGCTGGGCTGGAGCTCTGGGGCTGCTCAGCAGGGTGTGCACCCCTTCCAAACCTCCTGGGAAAGCACAGGAGCACCGGGTGACCCAAAGCCTTCAGGTCAGCACATGCTAACTGGCAGGATCTGTAGCAGGCACTGCTGCTGGTGCAGGGGGAGGCTTTGGCCTGCTGTTCAGGATAAGGATTTCTTTGTCCAGCATCAAATTTCCTCACCCAGCTACTCTGCATGAAGGTGCTTTGCAAACCAAGAGTTAGGGATGATGATTGTGGCTTCCTCCCCTCTGCACAGTAACCTCAGCCAATTTATCTGCTTCAGAAGCTGTAACACCTCTCTGCCCTGCCTTGAACAAACATGGACTAGCAGGAGGGATCTTCTCACCTGTAAGGACTGTTCCTAGGTGAATTAGGCACCCCATTTCCTTCCTGCATCCCCTTTATCATAATGCACGGTGTCATTATTATTGTGGTTCTTTAATTCTCCCTTGATGGGATGTGGATAACTGCAGAAAAAAAAAAAAAAACCCAACAGATGGGAAAGCAAAGACAGCTGCTGCTGAACAAAATCTGTTTAACTTTTCACTTTTGTTTCAGTCAGTCTGGGCCATCCTGCTGGGAGCCAGGCACAGGGAGATGAGGCCTCTTCCTTGTGCCTGCTGAAAACATGTCGAGCTTTGTGCAGGGCTGATGGAAAATGAGGCAGGAAAATGTGTCAGGGGATGGAATGGGAGGGGAGCTGAGCTGCCTGCACACCCTGAATGGGCAGCTGTGTCTTCAGGGAACCACGCTGCACGTGGGGCTGCTCTGCTGCAAGGCATTAGGGAGCTTTTGTTGGCAGAATAAGGGAAGTGGGATTAAGATGCATTTATATTCAGTTGGACTGGGTATAAAATCAGGGCTTTAGCACAGTAAGTTAAAAGAACATGTCATGCTAGGCATGAATGGAGGGAATGGTTAAGCTGAGAATTCACAGCTGTTAACTAATGATAAAATGGCAATATTAGACAGTAAATGTTTCATCCTACATCAGGAGGAGTTTGCAGAGTCTGTTTCCTGTAAAACAGGGAGAAGTTTTCATAGCTTATGTGTTTTCCACGAAACAGCATGGTTTGAATGCTAAAGGAAGGTAATACATTTTGGCAAACATCCCTGCACCCCAGTGGCTTTGAAGGTTTCATCATCCTGAGCCAAGGCAGCCCTCAGTTCTCCAGTCAGACCTTGAAGAGGATTTGTATGACATAACTGGATAATCCAGGCTGGAGAAGGGGGGCTTGTGTGCTTCAGTAGGCAAAACAAGCTCTATTTTCACTGTCTCCTCACATGGTGAGAAACAAATTGGGGTTGAGTGCATCTAGGCTGCTGTTTTCCTTCCCTTTCCTGCACCTGTTGCTGCTCCCAGTTATCCTTAACTTTTTAGGCCTGGAAAAGAAAACAACCTTAAAAAATCCTTGCAGGAAATTTAACACATTTCTCAAGAGTTTTACAAATGGCCCCAGAAAATAAGGAATGCTGGATCTTGTCCCTCCAGGACTCGGGGCTGAGCTTTCCTCTGACCATCCTGAAGTGCCCAGCTGGGCTGATGTGCAATGCTGTGTTTTTGGAAGCCAGTGCAGCGTCTCTGCTTGTGCCACTGAGCACAGAGCAGGGCATTGTACCAGTGCCTTGCATGACAACAGTCTGGCACTGCTCTGGGAATGGCCCTGGGCTGCTCTGTGCCAGCAGGAACAAGCCAGATGTGGCTGCTGTAGCAGACAGGACCCCCTCTGAGCAGGCTGGAAAGAGGCAGCACGGGCAGACAGGAAGCATGAAAGGAACATGGGTAAAATTTAGATTGAATTGGTAGTTAAATTAAGCAACAGAAAATGTTTCACTTTATATTTCCATCACAGACCTGGTGTTTCAGCCAAAAAAGGCTGGCTCTGGATTCCTGCTGTGCCAGAGCATGACTGAGGCAAGCAGTCTGGGATGAAGTATGTCCCTGCCTGGAAAGCTGCTCCCAGCCCATGTGGCTTCAGCAAGGAGCCCAGCTCTAATGAAGTGCCTTGAGAACAGGCACAGGGAGAACCCTGCACCTCTGGGCAAGAGCAGCATTTCCAGCCAGCACAGCACAGATGGTGCAGGGAAACCTCTGCTCCTGCAGCCCTGGGTGAGCTCCATGGCAGCTTGGGAGGAGCAGAGGGAGAATGGATGGAAATGCAGTGCTGGTGTGCAGAAGCACAGGCAGCAGAATGTGTTAGCAAAGCCTCTGCTAGAGCTGATCTGTGAAAACACTTCTGCCTTTGGTAAGAAATGGGTTTAAACCCATTTAGAGGAAGTGGGAAGGTGTGAGGCACTTGCAGTGGTGGCAGAAAGCTCATCACATGGGCAGGGGCCAGTGCAGGACGCTGCAGCACTTGGGCTTTTTCTAGGACTGGGATTTAAGAGGTAACAAATTCCTGCTGGAGTTTGGATTGTACAGAAAAATGTCAGGGATCATCAGTCTCTGGTCTAGGGATGATTGTTCAAGTTTACTTCAGGATGGAAGAAGAGTTTCCTCTAGTTCTCAGAGTAGTCCCAGATCTCCTGCTCTCCCACCCAGAGATGGCACAGAAGTGTTTGGTAGGGGTTGTTTGCACAAGGTTCTGGCTGTAAAGCTGTAACACCACTGCTGCCTGGCTTCTTGTTCCACTGGGCCACAGCTGCTGGCTCAGGGTGGCTTTCTAGGTATTTCCACGAGGGTGTGGAGGTAGAGGTGATGGTGCACATGCAGGATGAAACTCTCCATGGAACTGCAACAAAAGAAATTGGCTATTTTTATAATTCATGGAACCACCAGAGTGCCCAGGGGAGGCTGGTCTGGGTCAGGCCCTACCCACTGCTTCTGTAGGTCTGGTAGAGCCTGTCTTCCTGTCTCCTTGGATTTTTCCAGGCTTGTTTTGTGCTCTGAAACGTGCAGACCTCTTTCATTTGCTAATCAGACGTCGCTGCGTGCCAACAGGTTGGAAATTTAAGTAAAATAAATGAGCCATCTTTCCATCCAGGCCTGCATCTGGAAGGAAGGATTTCAGCAACATAATTGCTGGAGTGAACCTCACTCTTCCAGGCTGGCTTCAGATGTTAGCAAAGCATTATGTCTTTAGTGTCTTTTGCCAATCTTCCTCTTCTGTACGTTTTCTGTTAAACATGTAAAATGAATTATGGCTTTTCCAAAAAATAGATGTTTGAAGGTGATCCCAGATAAAAAGTTTTAAGATTAAAATCCACTGAGCCCCCAGAAGTGGTAATTGCTGAAAAGACAGGGTGTGGGTCTGTCTGCAAACAGAGAGGTTTCTTTTGTGATTTGATAGCAGAGGAGGAGCTGAGAATTACCAGATTTATGGAAAAAGGAAAATTATGTGGGCTGATGAACTTGGGTTTGGGGCTTTTATTGCGATTTGGCGGGTTACCCTGATGATTAATGCAGCAGAGTGAGCTTCCTTCTGAGCCTGAGCTCATGCTGCATGTGTTTGTCTCACCAAAACAGTGGTGGTTGCTATGAAATCCCCAAGCAGCCTTGTCAGTGATTGTGTTCTGAGCCCTTTGCAACCAGAGTTGCCTGCAGTGATACAAAAAGGCTGTTTATGCAGAAATCAAGACACAATGGTGCATTTTGAAGGCTTCTCCCAGATTTCTGAAAGCAGACCCTACAAACACTTGCCACTTGCTCTGCCCTTGGTGCAGGTGTCCAGCAGGTGTTGGGCAATGTTTAATACATCTCATTGCTTTTGAGTCTCTTTCCTGCCTGAAAACCCAGGTGCCTTTATTAGCTTGGCCCTACGTAGCAGAGGGAGGTGAGATGAGGGATGGTGACTCTGCATGGAGAGGGGACTCCTTGGCAGCTCAGGCTGCTGTCCCCTGCCAGGCCTTGTGCTGCTGCTGCTGCTTCTGTTTCTGCATTGCCCAGTCCTGTCAGGCTCTGATCTCCAGAGGCTCTCCCATGGCTAATCAGCAGTTTCCCACCTGACAGCAAAGGGCTCCTGGCCACATCCCCTGGTTGCTTCAGCTCTGCCCCATCACCTTGCCCTCTCTCTGGCTTTCTAGAGGAGCCTGCACTTCAGTCTGACCATGTGGGATTAACCCTTTGGTGATTTATTTTAGCGGCCCTTGTGTAGAACCAGCAAAATGGTCTGGAGATGAGGCAGGGCAGGGCAGGTTCCTTCAGGCTGTGCTGGTCAGTGTTGCATAAAGATGTGGAACATGAAAGGCTCCACTGCAGCCTAAGCACCCACAGAGGCTCTGGGTGTGAAGAAGGTTTGTGTCTGGTCACCCTTTTGTGAGGGAAAAGAGAGAAAAACTCTTGTGTGGGGCTAGAAGCATTTCCATGTGACTCATTACTCACCAAGTGTACCCTTTGTGTGTTGTTTTCCTGCTGTATCTCATTTCCCAGATGTTTAACCCCTCGTGTCTCCCCCTGCAGACCCAGCTCATCCAGATGGTGATCTGGATGCTCCAGCACCGGCTCCTGATCCAGCTCCACACCTACGTGTGCCTGATGGTGCCCCCGAACGAGGAGGAGTTCCGAGCCCAGGATGAGGACATGCCCTTCACTGCCAGGGTTGGGGGACGAAGTTTGAGCACCCCCAACGCTCTCAGCTTTGGCTCTCCAAGTATGAGCACACTTTTCTCTGCTGTTCAAACTCCACCTGCTTCTAGAGCTGCCTTAGTGCTGCCAAGGGCCTTCAGGCCTTGGTAGTGAGACATCTCCTCTTGCTGCAGCACTTGCTAATGAGGTCCAGCCTTTCCTAAATTTAGAGCTGGGCACTGGTGAAAGTCCTAGGGGCTATTAGACTTCTTTTTAGAAAGAAGTAATGCTTTGTAATTTGCCAAATTCTTATATGGTCGTGTAAAAGATTTTTATGAGAGGTACTTCTTGGTTTTTAAAAGTAGCTTTGTCCTCCCTTGCTGCACTCAGAAGTATCCCCTGTGTTCCTCTGGCAGATTCTGGTTTTCAGGACAGAAAGAATATGAGAGAATTTATTCAAGCAGCATTGGTTTCTGTGGGCTGTAGAGCCATTAGAGCCACCTGAGGAGACACAGAGCTGGCTTTGTTCTCACACATGATTGATTTCTGTTTGTGTCCTTGATTTCTTTAATCTCCCCAGTGCCATTCTTTAGAGTGATTCCAGGAAAGCATTCTTTCAAGAGGATGAGTCAGATATAATGCTGAAATCACCAAATTTTCCTGCTTGGGCTGTTCTGAGCAGTCTTCTCAGAACACTGCTGGGCTTGGATATGGGGAGAGAGCCTCTGTACAACTTTGAGCTTTGCAGGAGTCATGAATTAGGGCAGAAATCTTGGAACGTGAGTCAGATGAGTCTGTGATCTGCTTTTTCTGGCTCCCTCACAAGAGGATATTGCTTCTTGGCCTCTCTGCCTGCTCCCACCTTCTGTGCTGTTAGGCTTTTCATGTTACCACTTCATGGTATTCCAGCACAGCTGTCTGGGAATTCTCTTTTCAGATGTTTTTTATGGACTGTTTATGGTCTCCAGAAGTACAGTTTTCCACACAAATTGATGACTCTGTTGAAACATTTGAATTTCCCATTGAGAAAATCGCTGTGTTGTCATATGACTAATTGCAGATTCCTGGAGCACTTGGAGAGCCACTTTCTCTGCTCTCCAGAGAAGATGGATTAGTTGGAAAGGCTGCACAAAACCAGCCTGAATTGATAAACTTTGCATCCTTATGCTGAGGAATACAAACATTTAGTGTATATGTATGTGTCTCTCTTGTCCTGATAGCCAGTAGTGATGACATGACTCTGACAAGCCCTAGCATGGATAATTCCAGTGCTGAGCTGATACCTGGTGGGGACTCACCCCTAAATAAGAGGATGACAGAGAATCTCCTGGCAAGCCTGCTGGAACACGAGCGGGAAGCCATCCTGAACGTCCCAGCTGCCCAGAATCCAGAGGATCTCCGCATGTTTGCAAGGTGAGCAGGGCAGGATGCAATCATTGTTCCTTATCCTCCCTGCTTTATGGCAGGATTGCTGTGGAGTCTGAGCAAATCCTGTTAGCCTGGGGATTTGGAGGAGAAATTCTTTCGGGTTTGCTCCTGTATTTCATCTGTAATACAAACTGATATTTGTGGCACAAGAACACTTGGTAACAAAGAGTCCTGGGTGTGTGAAGGAGCATCAGGGAGTATGGGTGGGCTTCACTGTCCTGCCAGTTTTCCTTGTCCATGCATGGCAGACACAAAACTGCACAGCCTAAAACACCCATCTAAGCAGGCAAGGCAGAGACACAGTGATGCTGGTGCTGCCATTTTGTATCCATTGGTATATCCAGGCCAGCTCTCCTTAATTTTATGGTTTGTAAACTCCATGGACACATGAGACACAGAGCTGGCCTGAATACTTTTACAGTGTCCCAAGGTGTGTTTAGCAGTGATGAGAGCTCACTGCTTAGCTTAGTTAAACTAAAGGCATTAGGATGTGTGATCAGTAGCACACATTTTGTTGTTACACATTTGCACTCAACAAAACCAGGCACTGTGTGGTTCTGCACGTGGTAAAAGCAGAATGACTTCCTAAGCACCCATCTGGGAAGCAGGGAGGTGGGGGAAATACTTTTTCTTCCAAAGGATTTCAAAACTCAGTGGCATCACTGGAATGCAACTTCCACTGATTTTCATTCTTGTGGAGCAGAAAACCACCTGAGGCAAGGACTGCAGCTGTTCCATATTTTGGATTCAGTTGGTGAGACCCTGAAAACCTGGTTCTTGCCCTAGGATGGATACAGGCAGGTAGCCCAGGGAAATTGTAATAGCAGGAAGATGCTTTTCTTGTCTGTGGCAGAGTACAGCTGAGGGACTTGGACAGAGCTCTCAGAACTTGTGGGTAGTTACTGCTCTCTGAATTATTTGTCTCCTTCATCTTCTGCAACTCTTCAGAGAATATGCTCTGACTGGGAGGCAACACTGGCCACTTGAGAACTCTGAAGTGTTTCTCTCTTTATTACCAGCTAAGTCATTACAAAACCACTGAGGAAGGAAAGTAACAACAAAATCATAATATCTTAAGACAGAATTTGTGGGGGACTCCTTGGACCAGTTCAGTGTCAATGCAGATTCTTAGTTCTCCTAGTGAGAGGAAAGGATGTTGTGATTGCTCCCCTCTCATACCCTCAGCTGGGTAAAAGAGCCATTTGGAACTTTGGAATTGCAGATGCGAGAAATGACTCTGATTTCTTTGTGAAACCAGCTGAGTGATGTTTACTGTGCTTTTGCTCCTGCCCCAGGTTCTTCTGCAGATCCCCAGGCCTTACCAGGTTAGAATTTCCAGTCTACTGCAGATTGAATTGACAAGTGCAGAGTGCTCTGAGGCAACAGTGAGGAACAAACAGATTAAACAATAAATAAACAGATGGGTCCTGTGGGCAGATGCTGCAGTGCACATGTAGGAATGTTCATGCCAGACCCTCTTGGTTACTGCTGGTTTTACACACCACAACTTGTAGGTGTATTTTCTCTCTTTTTGTGCTGTAACCATCAGAGATGAGTGAAGGAGCTGATCTCCCTCATTACCCTCACACAGGGACTGCTCCAGCCCTGGCCAACAGCTCTGCTCTCACAGCTGCCTCCAGAGCAAAGTGCTGTAAATGCACAACTGGTGCCCCAAATATCCTGTGGTATTTGCCCTTCCCAGGATGCTGTGTGTGCACACAGAGGGATGGGCTATTTCCAGCACTGCAATGAAGCTCAGCCTGGCACATTTTCCTGTGCTGGTGCCTCTGAGTGCCTGTCCCTTGTTACACAGACAGCCCAGAGTGCTGGTGCCTGTCCAGGGCAGTGCACAGCCCGTGTTTGAAGGCAGAAACCTTAAGGGGAAGTAAGGAATTACTAAAGCTTGGCTCCAGCATTGGGTGTATTAACCCTCCTAACACTGAATGGGAATTTAAATCCAAGTTCTTTTCTAAGGTGCAATTATAGGAGGGTTGGCATGTGCATCCAGGAGGAAGCTTAAGAAGAAGACAAGTTCTTTTTGAGCTTGATCCTCAGTAATATACACTAAGCCTTCCTCTCTGCACATTAAGCAGTGTTTTTGAAGCCTGAAGAAGCTGGGGGCTTCTCTCCCAAGCCATGGGTGTAGAGTTGCTTTCAGGGCTTATTTGTCTTGCTCTGAGATTGGGAGGTGAGATCCTTCCCTGCACTGAGGAATGCTCATTGGCAGCACTGAGCTGTGGACACTTCTGCTCTGTTTCAAGCAGTGCTGTGGCAGGGACATGTCCTTGGGCAGAAACCAGCTAATTCTGTTAGCTACTCTGAGAGCTAATTCTAATTGCTACTCTGAGAGAATTCTTTTCTTTTTAGTGTGCAGGAACACTCCAGTGCTGTTAGAGGGGCAGCTCTTGCAACTTGAGGAGGGGAAAACAATGATGAGCAATGGAAGGCAATAATCTTCCATCACTGCATCTGGATGTGCAAGCAGATACACCTGTGCACCTTCAGAGGGACTCAGACACAGTGCTAGTGCCCCAAGAAGTGCCATCTTGTGCTGACTGTGTCCCACAAAGGTTCATTGCCCAAAAAGGTGAAGGCAGTGCCCACCTTCTCTGGAGCTGTGAGCCCCAAGCACAGCCTTGTAGATTCCAGCTGGACTTTTGGGAAAACCTCCTCCCTGGGAGTGTGGTGCAGCCCAGGACTGACTGCCCAAGCATGTGGAGGGATCTCCATCTTGGAAGGGTTTGGAAAAGCTCCACAGCATTAGCAATAGTCCTCCTGGAGCAGGATGCTGGGCTAGACTTTGGGGGTGTCTTCCAGCTGGCATTTTTGTGATATTCTTTAATATCCTCTCTAGCTTTTATTGGAGTGGAAAGTATTTAGTCTTGACCAGTTACAAATCCAGACTCTTTCTGAATAGAAGATGGATTTATTTATTGGCAAACTGCTCAGTCTGTGCTGCTGTGGAAAGCCAGGTCATACCATTTGCATGGGAGAGAGCTGAGCCAGGGTATGAGCACATGGGCACAAGAGCCTGGCATAGGGAATCCCCAAAATCACTTTGTGAACTGTGAAATCAGTTGTAAAATGCAAATATTTCTGTTCACACCTGCGGGAACAGTCTGGCTTTCACACACCCAGAACTGACACTGTCCTGAGTGACCACTTCTCAGTGCACACAGTGGCCACTGGCCCAGGGGAGGTGGCCAGCGAGCCTCATGTCAGTACCCAGTGGGAGACAGTGCAAAGGGCAGATGCACAGCCCAGATATGGGAAAGGCTGGAGCTTGTCTCTGTTTGCTTGTGCTGCAGGTGCAGAGAGGCAGCAGTGACCTTCTCCATACTGGTGCCAGCTTGAGAGCTGGCAGGGGAACAGCAGGAGGAGCTGGCAGCGAGCTGGGGCTGCCCTGCCCCAGGCTGCCAGTGAGGATCCTGCTGAGCCCACAGACAGCTCGTGGGGGACAGCAGGGATGTGGCAAGTCGGGAAGCAGATAAACACAAGTGGCACTGGGCTAGAGGTGAAAACTCTGCAGTGGGGCATGTGATGGAGGGACACTTTCTGCACAGTGACTCCTTTCCAGTCACCTGTGAGGGTGGTGGGTGACAGGAGTGCCCAGCCTGAGCAGCAGGAGGCAGCCAGGCAAGTGTTGGTCCTGCAGGGAAACAGGAGCCACTCCATCCAAAACAGGCTGGAGTGCTCCAGTGGATATGGGGTATACTTTGAGGGCTGTTCATGCATGGGGGCTGCATGAACGGATTGGAAAACAGATCATGTCATCTCCACTCATTTTACAGTCAGTTGGCATGAAGCTGCAGATGGGTAATGGAACATGAGCAAAGGCTGCTGGAGCAGAGTGTGATGTGGAACACATGTGCAGGCACAGCTGGCTGTGGAGCTGGGAAGGGACTCTGGCCTTTGGGCCCTCAGGGGTGGGGAGTATTTGAGTCACAGGACGGCTGTGACATTTGGGAGGGTGTTGAGACAAGAGACTGAGCAGCAAATTCAGGCTTCATGTGGGGGGCTGCCTTGGTGTTATGGCTCAGAGGGAACTCTGGGGAAGAGTCCTCAGCCACTGGGAATTTCTGCTGTTCGTCGTGGACCCTGCTGTGACTGACTGTGCAGGGCCAAGGTTTTCTGATGGCTGTAGCATGTCAGTGGCCAGCAAAGGGGTATCTCTGCTTTGTTTAAAGAGAATAGGGAATTTAAGAAGCCAGCATGGTTTGAGTTTGGGCTTCAGGTGATTTGTAACTCCCACAGCTTCTCTGTGGTGCCTAACACCAAAATTTCCATCTCCCTTTTGTAGAACAACCCAAGCTGCCCAAACCCTGAGTGCAGGACCTGTTACAAAGCCCCTTGGGCTGCTGTGAGGGAAAACAGCTCTTAATTCTAAAAGGCAATGCAGGTACTCAGGCCCCTGATGCAGAGCTGTGACAAAGGGCAGTTGTAGGCTTAGCTAAGAGAGCACAGAATAAATCTGCCATGTCCTGACTTCTCAAGGCTCATTAGCACTTGTGTTTGTTCACTTTCTGGAGTTATAACTAAGTTGAAAATTGACAGTCTTGGGAAATGCCCCAGACCGAGAAAACTCTTGATCCAAGGAGGACCTTGGCAAAGCCCCACAGCGGGCAAGTCCCATCCTTTTCCAGGGGATTTCTGTGCTAGGCATGATTTAATTCCCTTTTCATGCAAATGAGGGACATAACCCAAACAACCTTGTGATTTGCATCCCACGGGACAGGAGACCTTGGGGGTGCAGTATGAGTTTGAGCTGCTTTTGGCCCACGTGCTCCCCTGCTCTGCTCCCTGCAGGCTGCTGCACTACTTCCGAGGTCGGCACCACTTGGAGGAGATCATGTACAACGAGAACATGCGGCGCTCGCAGCTGCTGATGCTGTTCGACAAGTTCCGCAGCGTGCTGGTGGTCACCAGCCACGAGGACCCCGTCATCTCCGTGTTCCAGTCGCTCCTCAAGTGACTCTGCTGGCACAGAGGGAGGAGCCTGCCATGCTCTCCACGCTGGGAGTCTAAAGGATGCCTAAAACTGCAGGAGGTGGTTTCAGTTCCTGCTCGCCATGTGACACACAGCACGCTGTCCCCATCCTGCCTCGATGTCCCAGCTGCTCCCCGAGGCGCCAGCGGCTGCTGCAGGACAGCATGTCCTTGCTCAGCCTGGATTCCTGTCCTGCCACACTCACAGCCCTTCCCTGGCCCTGCTGCTCCACAGGGATCCTCAGAGTGGGACAAGAGGGTTCTGCTGTGATGCTGCTGGCAGAACTTTGGGGGGACACTGGGAGTGCTTCCTGTGCTCTCCAGCATGGCTGCTGGGACACTCAGCCATGAGAGCCTGTCCCCATGGCACAGCATGCATGGCCTTGCTCCAGGGCACAGGGGAAATGACCCTTGGCACCCAGGAATTCTGTTTGATCTCACAGTAGTGAGGACAGGTGGGAAGGCAAAGTATCACAAGTAAACATGAAATCATGAATGAGTGACTCAGTCACTGTCACAGCTCATTCTTTCCTCACCCCAACAGCCTTATTCCCAAGTGTCTGTTGGAGCAGGGCTGTCACCAAGCAGCCTCTGTGTTCCTGGGTTTCCATGTTTCCCAGTTGGTGCCTGGGGGGTGTTGAGCCAGGACTGAAAGGTGCTGGCCAGGCTGCAAGTTCAGGGACCTGTTCCACCCAGAGGCTGGTGCTGAGGGCACTCAGGCTTGTCCCCCAGGGCTTGTTTTGTCCCACCAGTGCCTCTCCCACAAGTATGGCTGTGGCTGCAGGGAACGACTGGGATCCTGGCCTGGGTGAAAGCTATCCAGCAGGAAAGTGAGATACAGGGCTGCGTTTCCTGCTCTGGTTTGGGACTGCTCCTCCAGCCATGCCAGGGCCAGAACAAGAGCTCAGAGCCCTGGGACATGCCAGGGCCTGGGGACAGCAGGAGCTTGTCGTGTCAGCTTTTCCCCGAGCAGCCTCTCAGGAGCAGCTGCACTTGCCCACACCAGCTGGGTGAAACTGGGAGCTTTAGCTGACTTTCCTTCCAGCAGCCACTGGGGAGCTTCTTTGGGGTCCCTTCGGTGAGTCTGGCCCTGCAGCTGCAACAGGGATGGTACAGAGGAGCAAAAAACCATATCTGACCTAAAAATCAGATCAACACCACTGTAGGCCCTGTCTAAACCAGCCCAGCACCTGAGCATCAAGGTGAGCTACTGCAATCAAAAAAAGGCTGCCCAGAAGGAGCCAACCCCAATTCTTTCATGGGATGGGGACAAGAATATTTAAAAATAAACTTGAGCTTTTTTATTATATGTAAACCTTAAGGTGGGGGTGGAAGTGGGGGGTGTGTCCCTGTCATGCCTCCAGTGTGGCTGCAGTCCTGCCCTGAATCATGGAGGTTTTTCCTCTGTGTACCTCAAGCCAGCACCAGTGCTTTCTCTGTGTGGGGACTCACACAGTGCTAAGTTCTGAACTGGTTTCAAAAGCAGCTGGGAAAATGAACAAAACCCATTCTTGTTCTCCAGGCTGGACATAAGAGAGAGGTGGAGGTTGGAAGGGGTCTCTGCTCAGAGGAAAGGTGTTAGCTCAGGTCACTCAGGACCCTGCCTGTGGAGGTGTGAATGGCCCACAGCTTCTCTGGGCCCCTGTTCCAGTGTTTGACCACCCTCATGGGGAAAATTTTTTCCACAGAGCTAATGAGAACTTCCTGTTTTCCAGCTGGTGGCCTCTCATCCTGTCTGAGAGCAGCCTGGCTGTCTTCTCTATCCCCTCCCCTGAGGTAGCTGCACACAACAGTAAGATCCTCCCTTCACATCCTTCTCTCCCAGCTCCCATCCTTTCACTCTGCTCTGCTGCCATCCTGTTTTTAAACTATTTCCCTGCAGCAACCAAGCACTGGCCTCTGCTGAGGGCTGAAGTGATGGGAGCAGCCCAGAGCTGTGACCCTTCTCCTTTCACCCACCTTAATTAAGCCTGGATCCATTGGCAAGGGAGAAAGTGGCCTTCAGTGTCCAAAACCCATACCAGTCTCCTGCAAATAAAGCTCCACCTTGCCCCATTCCTTGTGACAAAGTACATTTATTGTTAAAAACCCCCCAAGCCCCTCTGTCTGCCACGCTGCAGCTTGAGGCCATTATACAGAGCACAGCTCAAGTCCTGGTCCCCGGGACACTTGCAAGACTTGTCAGCTGCCAGGGGAATGTCCCCTTGCTGCCATCTCTCTCTCTATTTTCTTGTCTACAACACTCACAAATCTGTTTCCTCGTAAGTAAAACCTGAGTGGTTTCTGTGCCCACTCTCCCCTGTTGCCAATGCCAATCCTGGTGGTGGCCACCACGTCCTGCTCCCCCGGCGGGTCCTGTCCTGGCACCATCCAGATGGCAGCATCCTGAGTCAGGTCCCTTTGGTCAAAAGCCTTGTCGATGCCAAACGCCTGGCAGAGCTTGGAGGGCCCGTTGCAGAGCTGCCAGTCCTTGAGCAGCCTGCCGGGTGCTTTCCTGGAGGCCCTGCGCAGCTCCCTCATGGCATCCAAGCCCTGCAGAGGCTCCAAGGAACGCAGCAGCACTGCAGCCCCTTCTCCTGTGCAGAACAAGAGCTGGGGGTTAGTATGGGGCTGTTTTTTGGGAATGCCTCACCTTTCAGCTCACTGCCAGCAGCACTTCAACTCTGAGCCCGTGTCTCAGCCTGATGGAAGAGGGAATGGCCTGGTGCACCCAACCATGGGGCCTGTCCTTTGCTCCAAGGGCACTCCCTTCCTCCTCCAAATCTCCAGTGTCCTGTAGCTCTGTGCCCTTCATTCTGCAGTGCTGACTTGCTCTTCCCAGCTCCACCTGATGTTGCTAAGTCTGGCTGCTGCTCCAAGGCTTGCCAGAGGGCAAGAGCTTTTTCTTATGTCAGCACAATGTTGAGGAATAAATAGACATCTGGTTCAGTTTTGGCAGAAATATCCAAAGCTCTGCTCCCAAACCCAGTGGATGTCTAATAAACTGTGATTACAAGAACTCCAGCTAACAAAGGCAAGGAGGAATGAGTCTGGATGCTGCCAGCAGAAAGAGGCAGATTGCAGAGTGAGGCTGCACAAAGAGAGACCTGGGAAGGAGCTGCAGGCAGTGGGAGCAGACACTGCTGAGGGAGCTTGGGCTGGTACCAATCCAAACTCCCTCTGGAGGTGTAACAGCTGGGATGAGCATGGCCTTGGGTCACTGCACAGCTCCAGCAGAGTGTGATCTGGACACATGTGCCAGGGAAGCTCTCCCAAGGCAGGGACCTGGGGCAGGACAGGGCTGCACAGTCTGGCTGTAGGATGCACAGCCCTGGGAGCAGCACTTAGCAGAGGAGACCTTTCTATGAGAAAAACTGAACAAAACTGACAAATTCTTTCCTCAAATGTGATTTGCCACCCTGTCAGAAGCCTTGGGTCTCCTGCCCTCCCAGCTGTTGCAGCAAGGTGACAGCAAAGCAAAGATGCAGCTCTGAGCACACATTCCCTGTCAGACAAGGATCTCCAGCCTAAGTGGGACAGAAACCTTTCCCTGGTGTTTTCCAAGGGCCAGCAGGGGCCCAGGTCTCCTCCTGCCCCTGAGTGGGTGAGGAGAGCACTGGCACAGGGCCTGTGTGCAGCCCCACAGCTCCCCCTGTGCTGGCCACCCACAGCTTTCCTCCCACCAGCATCTGCACGGCGCTGCTCCCCAGAGTCCCCTCTCCAGCCTCGAACATCTGGAGCCACGCTCGTGCCTGGCACAGGCTTTTTTTGTAGGCACTGGCAGATCCCTAAGGACCTGTGATTTCCCAAAATAGAATCCCTCTCATACTTAGTACAAATCCCACACTAAATTACCCCTCTGGGCTCCCAGTGAAGTCCTGGTTCCTGGCTCTCTGAGGTGTGCCTGCTGCCCCGAACCATCTCAGAACCCCTGCTGCCCTGACTACAGCTGGGTGAAGTCAACAGCCTGAATTCCAACAGCTGTCAGCAATCTGTTCCCAGGCACTCCCTTCTCCAAGGAGGGGGATTGATGCTAATCTGGCAGCCAAAAGCTGCTTCCCTGGCCTAACAGTGATTTAGAGCTCAAAGGTCATTTCAGATTTTTAAGAACATGTTCCATGTCCTAATTCTGCTTTTTATCAATGCGCAAAGAAACATCCTTCCCATCGTGTCGCTGCCTCCCTTGCCAGGAATAACTGGGGGTTCTGAGCAATCTCTCATTACACTGCTTGCTTTCACCCACTCAACTGCAAGTGGAAACTGTGGTCACACTTGAACTGAACCAAGTCCTTGGGAGTTCACATAAAGAGAGATGAGCACTTGGAAAACTGCAGGTGCTCCCAGAGCAGCACAGAGCCCAGCCAGGGAGTACTGGCAATTTTTGTCTCTGGCTGCTCTTTCTGCATTTCCAGCTGGAAGTTTCCAGGTTCTTTCTAGCTGTGTGCAACACACACCCCACTCTGCCCAGAGAGTAGCCTTGGGAAGAGGTGGAGACAGCAGGCAGGACACGAGTGCAGGGTTACCACAATGAGCTACTGCCGTCTTCCCCTCACGCCTCTGGTTCCTCCTGAGCAAACCTCCACATTAGAAATTTAATTTCAATTCCCAAAGAGTGGCTGAGTCAACTCCAGAGTGCTTCAGCCTGGCTTCTTCCCCCTCTCAGCCTGCAGCATTTCACTCTCAAGGGTCACCTGAGTTCAGCATCTGCCCAATGTGCACACACCAGCAGCAGCAGGGCCAGCTGGGGGTGCTGAGTATTTATCTCTCCTGTTAAGAGTCACTCCATATAATGAGCAGCATTCAGGGCTAAAAGCTGGGATCCAACAACACTGCAGAGGCCAATTCTCTCCCTGAGCAGCTAGAAATCATAACATGACAGTGGAGTCCTACACCCCCACAGCGCAGCTTCCTGCTCCCTCCCCAAAACAGCTCCAGCTCCAGGCTTGGAAACAGCTCTTGGCCAATGGAGAGAAGAGAATTTTCTCCTCCATTCACCCACCTGCCTCAGTGCTCCCCAATACTTCCTCCAAAAACCTAGTCTAGGAGCTGAACGTTAGGGAGAAGTCCCTGCAGTGTGACCCTGGGCTGAGCATCACCAGGCTCTTGATTTTACAAGCTATTCTTTCAGATCTGGCAGCAAAATACAGACCTTGGCAAATTCCAGAGAAACAGATCATAGCTAAGTCAAAAAGAGGCATGACTGGCATTTATCCTCTGCCTGAGGCAAGGGAAGCCCCACATCTCTCTTAACTCTAGGGAAAGCTCTTAGCACTGAGATTATTGTGCAGCTCAGGATATACTGTAGGATTCGTGCACAGTAAAAGATGTTGGCTGTATGTTTTCTCCTCTACCACCCATGATTTCTCCAAACGTAGTGATGCCTGCTGTGGCTTCAGGCAGTTGCAGTATTTCACTCAGGGATGGGAGGACCTCTCACAGTAAAATTCCCCATGATGTAGCTTTATCTCAGTGATGTGCATGAAGATTTCCCCTTCCTCACAGACAAAGAATACTGGATCCCCCCCCTCCATCTCATTATGGTTTTATGAACACAGGGCTGTGGGTGACACACTCTTCCCATCCCTGAATGATACTGGAACCTGAACCTCAGCATAAACCAATGAACAGAGAAGGTTTATTCCATCTGGAGTCAGAGGCTGTGAGGTTGTAAATCAAAACAAGTGATCCCTAAAGAGTCAGAGCTCCACTGCTTCAGAGGATACACTTGTCTCTTGGAGCTGGTTGCCTTCAGAGCATGCTATGAAGAAGGACCAGGCTTTGCCACAAGAGATTTTTTTTTTTTTTTTGCCAGGGTTTCTTTGAGTTTTTTCACAGCCAGAGTCAAAGTTTTGGAGATCTATCCCATATCCAGAGAATGAAATGCTTTTGCCCTCTACTCAGGTGCCACTGTGAAGATGACTCCCTCAATTCTTCCCTCAGACTAAACCACAGCACAGCAAACAACTCCTCCTCCCTCTAACTGGAGAAAAACATCTCGGGTGTGATTCCTCCCCACATTCTCTCTTTCAACACTTCTGCATGTGAGCAAACACACAGAAGGGGCAGCCCCAGTTTGTGTAGCTGCATCAGTGGTGCACAACGTGCACAGCCATGGTACTGACTGCAGTGCTCTGACAAAGCTGGCAGTGACAGCTCTGCCTGGTGTCACTCCTGTGGGACAGGACGATGGGAAGGAAGTTTGCAACAAAAAATGCACTGAATTCCATCACCACAGGGAGCCCTTTAACTGCTTTGCTACAAAACTAGTAATAGGTATATAAGGAAAAATTTCCCAAAGTGTGTATTTCAAAGAAATCTTTCCATAATTCAAAGGCTAAACATATATATATATAATAAAAAAATGTATTATTCTTAGTATTTTAATCACCAAGAATCCCATCCTGACAAATGAACCATGTCCTTTCATAATCTGAACAGATGTGGTAGAGCCCATGTAATGAAGTTCACATGTGTTCATCCACCAGACTCCACACCCTCAGCTGGAAGTCAGGCTCTTCCCCCACACTATAACGTGGCACTATTTTTCTGCTTGGCTTGTGTCCAAAGGCAAAAACCTGAGCATTAATGGTCACAGTTACGTTTGCTTTCCACTTAGGAATACACAAGCTTTTTAACCTTTATCATTGAAATAGTGAAAAAGAAAGTAAATTTGGTTTGAGATTTTTCCTAGCAGAGTGAGCAGTTACCTAGGAAACACTTGCTGCCTTTTCAAGGTGTCTAATTAAACAAGAGATCCATTGCAAGGCCAATACTGTCATTCTTACAGGACAGGAAAAAGAAGGAACTTTTCAGTAACGCTTGTTAAGAGTCTTGAAATATGAAGGAGAGTTTCATAAATTACAGAGTAATTTAATTAGAGCTTGATTATTTTTTTCTTGAGAATAATAAAAGAAGATTGAAGATTCTGTAACAGTCTGAGTATTTGATTTGGGTGGGGTTTTTTTGGCTTTTAGATACAGCTAGACAGCTAAAATGCTTCTACTGACTCCTTGCTTAAGCTAACGACATCTCAGACTTTTTGTTTTCCCCAACATTTCATTCTGCCTCTGAAGATAAAGGAAGGAGACAGAGGCATTTCCTGCCATGGCAACAGACACCAAGATTTAGGCTGTCATTAATGACTCTGAATTTTTCTCTACATCACCACTTTTGAGGAACAAGGTTCACTGAATCATATGACTGAGGCAGCAGCCCAGGTCATCAAAACTGAAAGCTCCATCCCATCTGGATTCTCCCTCATTTCTCAATCTTTGTGTGCCTGAACAGCTCCCAGAAGGGACAAACAGGACAGCTGGAGATGGGCCCTGCCTGCTGTGCTGCCTGTCCACAGGTACACTCTGATCACAGTGGCAAAGCCCAGGTCCTAATGGAGGATGGTGAGAGCCACAAGTCACTGACATGAGAGCCCACAGAGAGCTCACAAGTGACTTGCAGCAGCACTGTAGCTTGAAATGCCAGCCCCATCCTGCTAGCATTCCATCTCTTTCAGCCTCAGCTTACCTTGGCTGGAAACATTCATGCAGAAATAAATCCCATAGATCTGATACACGTACAGAGTTCCTGGTTTCATGAACATTGCTGCGTTCCGTTGTGTTTGCTTCCCACCTTTCGAGTGGGAAGCTTCATCTTCCCCACCCAGATAAGCTTCTGTTTCAACAATCCTGCCCCAGAGCTCTCTGCCATCAGGAAGTTTGCGAACTAAAATCTGAAAGAGAGGTCAGAGTGCATCAGTTACCAGCCCTCAGTACAAAATAACCACAGCAAGAGCTGTGGAAACAGAGAAGTTGGAAAGAAAGGACCTGATGGTACTAAATCCTCTCCAGTGAGCAGTCTATAAGCTAACACCAACTTTTTCAGCTTCCACAGCCCAGTACAAGGAGTTCCACCTGTCCCTCACCCCACAAAATGCCTGGAGTGTCTAGATGAGGCAGTACAAAACAGAACCAATTTATGACCCTACATGTACTGAAGCCCACAGAGGTGCTTTGGTGGTTATCTTCTGTATTCTCCACTCCAATCCATCAGGTTTAAGGCAAAACTCACTGCTGATATCAACCTTGAAGCAACATGAATCCTTATATCAGAAGAAATATGACAGTGGCACAATTAAATAACTGCTATGATTAGACAGTTTCCCTCCCTAGAGATGTTTCAAACAAGTCCCAGTCCCAAATCACAGAGATAATCAGCTCTAGAGAGGGCATCAATGCTATTTCAGTATTTTCTGCACCACAGAAAAGGGCAGTGCAGGAGAGATGGGAATTGGCTTCAGGCAGAAAACAACAGATCTTTGTTATTACAGTGTGTTCTTGCTGCTGGTACCTCCTTAAATAAAACAAAGCAGATGCAGGGGAAACAAAACATGACAGTCAAAAGATTCTCTTTAAAAATAAAACAACCACTAAACTTTGTACAAAGGAATTTGTGGTTTGACCTGATTTCTAAACTTTATGCTTTACTTAACGTGTATGAAATACTGCAGTCTCATCTGGGCACCAGCAATCAGTTTAATTATAACATTTTAATTATGCAGCTGTTCAAAAATGACCTTCAGAAAACAAAGCTTGATTCCTAACAGATGTTTGTGCTGGATTGCTAATGCAGATATTGATCTGATCCGTAACGGATGCTCCAGGAGTTGGTTTCCAAAGCTACAGCTCCAGTACACCAGTTTCCCTACAGCACTTGTCAAATTGTTGAAAAGAATCTGTTTATTATTTTTTATGAAAGAAAAAGCACTGGGGTTCAGCAATTGCCTGGGAACACCCCAAAATCAGACCCATGTGACCACACCTCTCACTCAGTATGATGAAATGCAAGGTTAGGTTATGGGTTTAAAAGCATTTGGGCATTTCCCTGTCTTCAGGCACACCAAATATCCTGTTGAATAAAAAAGTTTAAAAATGGTGATAATTCCCAACACCTCACAGTAAGCCATCTCATAAAGGTTATTTTTCTCATTGAGGATGTATCTTGATGTTATGGCAGTTCCCTGTGAAAGGCCAGTCACTGCATGTAACTTTTTTGTTTCCGAGAACTCAGGTATCATGAAGGTAAACAAAAGATGCCGCCAAAATTTGGTAGAATGAAGGAAACACTAAATTACCTTTATGAGAGAATAGGCTGTGCCAAAATTTGGTAGAATGAAGGTAATGAAGGAAACACTAAATTACCTTTATGAGAGAATAGGCTGGGTCATGGGAGACTGGGGGTTATACTTTGAAGGAAGTGTAAAATTAAGATAGAAATCATGTAGTTTGGAATACTAGGCCTAAGTAGGAAAAATACAGAACTAGGATTCAAAAATCATCTGCCCGGAGTGACTGAATGCATGAGGGTGATGGAGCCATTAAGACATCAAAAACGTGTCAGTAATGGGAGACTACAGGCATCCTCAGATAGAACAGGACATGGGCAACGCTTGCTTAGACACCATCAAATGTTGTGCAGAGCAAGGAATCAGGAACATCATGAGAAAAGACTCAGTTCTCAGATCTGGAGCAAAACAAAAGGCTTTTCCAAAGACTTACTCCTGAAAAACAACTCAGTATCATGACCATGAAGGATAAAGTTCAGTGTCTTTTCACATGTATTAAAGTCCAAAAATAATCTGCCAGAGTCCTGCCTACCCGCAGAAAGAGGAAACTACGTAAAGAGAGGGAGCTGGTTGGGAAGAGCTTTAGAGGCAGCCAAAGGTTAAGGCCTGAAAGGCAAGCCTCTAGCAGGATGTCTGCAAAGATAGCAACACATGTGGAGTATCACAAAGAGGTGAAGGCAGACCACAAAGAAACCCAGCAGGGCTAAAAGGCAGAGCAAAGGCGTCACTTAGAAGCAAGATATCCTTAGAAAATAAAAAAAAAAGGCTGGATGTAGCAAAACAGGCCAAAACCAACAGTTTGTGGAACAAATTCCTGGAGTTATCTAAAGCCATGAGAACCCAGAGAGTCTGCTCACCCTGCAGACAATAAAGGTATAAAAAAGACTCAGAGAAGATAAGACATAGCAGTGAAACTGAACACACATTTTGCAGCTGAGTTTAGAAGGTCCAGGACTGGAACTTTTTATAGGGAAAATACTAAGGGAACTCCCTCCCCTGGAACAGCCAGAGAGTTTTCTGAATGACTCTTCTGCTTAGTGAGTCCATCTCCACCACTCTGATTTCCAAAGGCTTTCATAAGGTGCAAAGACTCCTCAAAGTTCATGCAATGGGGTAAGGGAGAAGTCCTTGCACGAACAGGTAATGACTGGGAAGCTCAGAAACAAAAGACAGGAACAGCAATATTTGGAGTGAAAAGAGCTTAAGTGTGGGACTGTGCAATCCTTAGCACAAGACAGTAAAAAGGAGGCAAAAAGGTGTTACTGACTGCAGAGCACTGCTTTCCACTGGGCTAAGCAAGAAACAAAAACAAGTAATGCAATTGCTGAAAGGAAGATAACAGGCCTGGCACAGCCCACAAACCACAAGCAGCTAAGCACATTTTAGTAAACAGAAAAAAGGAAGGAAAACGGCACCAAAGAAACCCCAATTAAAAATGTGACAGACTAAATCTGAAAAATTACTCCTCTGACTTCATCTAGAATAGATTCAGCTACTGGTCTTTAAATTCCACTGCACTTAGCAAGAGAAGGAATGAGAGCTGTATTCCTAAAACAGCCAAGCCTGGGAGTCAAATGGCAAAAAAAGATTTTCATCCTTTTACACTAAGTTATTAGCCAGCACATAATACAAGTACAAGAATCTCAGTGCTCATGTCTTACCTGTCCCAGAAAGGACTTGGCCAGACTAACACAGGGCTGGTTGAAAAAATCTTCTTGTAGCTGAGGAGAATTTTTTTTCTCTACCATAAAATATTTGCTGCTTTTTGGAGAAGGATCTGCTCCAGGTGTAGTGTTCAGCTGCTCCACGGCATTGATCTGAGGGAAGCTGCTGGTGTTTTGAAGAGCACTTAATTGAGCCAACAGGTTTCTTTTTCTTGGCATAGTTCTAGAAAATGGATATAAGTATCTTTAGGATTATAAAGCTTATTTAAAAGCAACTAATTTCCACAAACTTCTGTTTTTGCACACCTCTCCACACAATGAATCTGAAAGCTATGACTACATGGACAACCTATGCAAACTGCAGCAGCAGGTGACAGATTTAGCTCTGTTTGCACCAGGCTGGGCAAATATTGGGCTCCACTGATGAGCAAACAGAAAACAGCAGTTTGAGTATTCATCTTTTAAGGACTGCAGATAAAAGCAACTCTGCTCCACTAAGCATTGGAAGTAAGTTTGCTGTTAGGCTAGAAAATTCAGAAAGTAAAAGCAAAGACGAAACAGTACTCTGTACTTTTTACCTAAAGCTAACATAATCTTTTAAGTAGAAAGAAAAAACAGAAAACAAGCACTTCAAAAATTGTGCTGCCTCAGAAAGCCCACAGAAGCTGTGTATCAATCATTTTCAAAGGTAATGTAACTGGATCAGAATCTAAACCTCCACAGGAAATTTAGAGATGCCCTATTCACAGTCACAAACTTGTTTATCGTGCTGTAGAAGTGTCTGTGTTCGAATCTTCCCAAAATGATCCAACTTACCAGAAAGATTCAACCTCCTGTTCCAGCCAACAGCAGGGACCTGAGGCAGCTACATCACAACTGTGCCATTGTTCTTCTGGTCTGTCACCACTTTCCATGTGAGCTCCACAAAGCTGGTGTTTCCTTTTCAGTGCTGCAGTCCTTACACCTGCTGGACAGGTACAAGCATTTATTCACTGGATGAAGTGCTTTGAAACAGGCCAAGAGATTCTGGAGATCTGACGGAGATGTGACACCCAACAGATCAAACTCCAGAATAATTTGCAGTTTTCTGTTGGTCCAGTAAAGGCCCATCTCCCAGATGGGCAGTGCTGGAGATGCTCTTAAGCCTTTGTTATTCAGTGGGGAATACACTTTTCCTGTACTCAATACACAGAAAGCTGAAACCAAACTTTTAAAATGCCCCCACTGGCACTGAATTTGTAAAGTGCCAGCCTCAAAAACAGGACTTTTACAAGAGATTGCAAAGACACCAATTCCAAATTGAACCCCATGTAGATGTAAGGGTCCAACATCATGCAGATTTAGAAACAGAGATAGAATCCTATAGCTGAACCTGCAAGCAAGTGTATATATAAGTAATTAGCTGTTGCCACTCATTTTTCACCAGATCATCAGCATTTAAAAATTACTACAAAAACTTTCAACATCAAAACCAATCTTTATCTTGGTCTGATGATTCTCAAAATGAAGTTCCACCAGCAACAGTTTATTTTCACTACAGTGAAGTTCAGCATTGCTACAATCTGAATCACCAATGCCAATTCCCCAACAGTGTTATGTTTCACTTCAGAAGAATCCAGACACAAACATATAAAAATAGGCAGGAAAAAAAAATCAAATCACATTGGCATGACTGGCAGAGAGGTAGGATGGTTTTAGTTTTTTCTGAACACCTAATTCTTTATTGCAATAATTCAGTGGTGTCAGAGACTTGCCACAGAACCACAGCTCCAAGCCAGGTACTCTGCTCTGAACTGTGGCTTTTAGCTGGCGGGAATTCCTAAAAATTTTGTTAGAACTCAGCAGCCTGCCTCTGACAGAACTGTCTGGTGACCTGGCAAATGAGTCCTGTCTAGGAGAACGAGCTGCAGGAAGGAAGGGGCAGAGGAGGAACACCTCACCATTTCAGACTGACCCCCTGAAACACTCCGTCAAGGCAGTACTCCCCACTGAAGACATTATCTGCAGACTTCTCTGACAGTATTAACTGGAACTTCCAGCTCATCAGCCACACATAATGACATGCTGCAAACATGGCTGACTCGAGTGGAGCATTAACTCATTTGGTAATTTGTGCTCTTATGGAATGCGACATCAGAAACAGGATCTGAGCTGCCTGGCACCTACTGCACTTCCAATTAAATCACTCCTAAAGCTGCAAGTGCTCTTACTGACACGTTACAGCAGCAGCCCCAGGGCACTTGCAGCTTCATTGCCACGGGCTGATCCTTGACACATCCAGCATCTTCAATAGAAACAGCAGCAGGAAATTGCCTTCTAGCCAGGAAAAATGGGTCAGAACAGAAACATGAGTGTAGAGCGAGGGGCTGCAACACCAGCTTAGAAACCCAGAAAAAAACCCCAAAACATTCTGTGCTCTGTCCCCCTGCCTGCTCATAGCAAGATCTGAAACCCAAAGCTCTGTGCCTCAAAGCCTATCTACACTTTCTGGAAAGTGTACAAATCTCTTCTTGCCCAACAAGAATCACAAATCACACTGTGGAAGGCAACACAAACCATGGATCCAAGTCCTGTGTATTTGGGAAGCAAGAGGCTCAGCCTCTTCTGTAAATCCACACACAAATACTGCAGCTCTTCATTTCTATCTAGATTTTCCTGCTTGTATAATAAACAAATCCTACTCCTGGGCCTCAAATAATAAGCCATGGGTTTAATCACTTTTTACTAATCCTGTTGCAACCAAATTAACTACAAGTTGTTAAACACATCTGGTAAAACATACCAAAAAAAAAAAAAAAGAAAAGGTATGGAAGTCAGAAAAAGATCAAGAGCTGAATCAGCACGAGTGCCTGGAGTGTTCAGGGCTGCTGGGCTAATCTCAGGCAAGTGGTTCAGAAGCCTGCAAGCCAGAATTGGAGAGACACTGCAAATCCATGCAAAACCCAGCTCAGCAGCAGATACACCCTGTACTCAAGGCACAAGAGTCTACAGAGGATTCTTTAATCCTTCTAAGAAGACTGCATTTGTAGGCATTTCCTTAGGTAGTTAATGAGTTTTCATGGAAAAAAAAATATATATATCTATATCCTACAGCAATTTGCATGTACTTTTGGCTCCCAGGTCCAGATACCTGCACAACCTTCCTCAGGTACATCAATTTTTCTGACAGAATAATGAAGAGTACATAAAACACTGCCAGTTCTGGAGAGACCATTCCTCACAGCAATTCCCAGTTGTACAGATTTTAAGTGGGAACAGATGCTAAGTCAGACCAAAGGATACCTCTCCCTGGATCCTGCTCTCCAGCCCAGGTCAAGAGCAGGAGCCTGGGGAAGAACAGAATAAACATCCAGTGCTCCTCCATGTCTTGGGACTAGAACCTTCTGATCCAGGCACAGCCTTCCCTGAACCTCTGTAACACCAGCCAAAGGGAGACTTGACCAAGAAGGAAAACTTCACAGAATTAGTTATTACTGCTCCAAAAACTCCTTCCTTGTGTGGGGAATTTGCACTTGCTCCCCACCCACATGAATCAGTTTATACCTGCACTTCACCACCCTCAGCCCTCTTTACCACCTTCAACAAGACAAAGCCAGCTGGAAACACTGATTTTCCATGTCATCTACAAACCATCCCTGCAGCACCCCAATGGTGACCTCCAGCCACCAGGAGAGCTGCCCATTTACTCACATCCTCTTTACTACCTTTGCAACAACTGTGTGTTTATGACAGGGGAACTCCCTTATTGTGTCCAGGTAAAGAGCTCCTGCTTAAAACCCCCCTGAAATCTGAGTACAGACTGTGAGCCAGACCTCAACACGCTCATTTAGACCTGCAGAAAATTCCAGCATTTTTTAAGGCATGACTTTTAAGTCACATTGATTTTCCCCCACCAGATACTTATGCAGCTCTCCAATAATCCTACTTTGCTACATTTGCTATTAATTCACTTACTGGTGGTCAAACTCCCAGGTCTGCAGTCCTTGGATTTCCCCTAGAATCCTCTTTAAAAATTAGTGACACATTTGCTGCTGAAACCATCACTAGCAACACTGTCCTTGGGGGCTGCATCTGGTTTGGTAGTTTATTCCTGCCTGTTTCTGCCAGTTTAGCAACTTATTCCTGCCTGTTATTCCTGACTTTTTTGTTCCATAACTTCTTAAACAGACACTTTAAGGCAGATCTTTCAGTGAGTTCTCAGCATGAATGATGTCTCTCTGCCTTTCCTGTCTAGTCTACCCTATTGGTAACCAGAAGATAATAATGTATAGTTTTCTGGACAACAGTGTGAGAAGCAAGAAAAAAAAACCATTGAAAAAAGAGTGCAGGCATGAGCTAATACAACTCAATTTCTCCACAGACAGATTCTGACAGCACGTGCAATCCTAATACCGCAAAAATAAACCAAAAGGGATGTTTTTATTCACCTTACTAAGTGCTGCAGATCTTATTTCCTTGCAATTCAAGTCCTCGCTCCTACTCCCTACCGGGCATCTTGAGCTTTTTTGGGATGAAACCTAGCTCATCCTTCTGTAAAGAACAAAGAAGGTAACAACAATGACGAAAAACCAAAACAAAAACCAAAACCAAAACAAAAACAAAAAAAAAAAGAAAGGGCCTTCTCATCAGAATTACATTTTGGTTGAGGACACTCGTGATTTGGAGCGGAACCCAGGGCTGCAGCGGGGGGCGCGCCCGGCAGCGCTGGGCAAGGCCGGCCGGGCCCGTTTGGGCGCTGCCGGCGCCGTGGCCGCGGCCGAGCCCCAGGAACCCGAGCTCCCTCCTCCGCCCGACCCGGCCGTTCCCGGCCATTCCCGGTCACTCCGGCCGTTCCCGGCCATTCCCGGTCACTCCGGTCACTCCGGCCATTCCCGGCCGTTCCCGGGCTCCCCCTCACGCACCTGCCGGGCCCGTTCCCGCGGCGGGCGGGGCGCGCGCAGCCCCTGCCGCGGCCCCGCGGAAGCCCCGCGCTGCCGTGAGGGGCGGGCCGGGGCCGGGGCAGGGGCAGGGGCGCGGCCGTGAGGGGAGGAGCCGCTGGCGGCGCGGGGAGCGCTGAGGGCTCGGTTTACGGGTGCTTCTGCCTCAGGGGTGTCTCGTCGTGGGTGTTGCTTTCTGGAGCGCAGGTCCTCTGTAAAACAGCGTTTGAACTCTCGCTGGTTTTCAGCATCCACTCCTCGGCTTTTCATGTTAATCATTAATTAATCAGCACAAAGGCTGAGAGAAGGGGGGCTCGGCCTGGGTTAGAGAAGGCACGCGGAGACCTCAGAGCCCTTCCAGTGGCTAAAGGGGCTTCAAGAGAGCTGGAGAGAGACTTTGGATAAGGGCCTGGAGTGGCAGGACAAGAGGGAATGGCTTCAGTCTGACTGAGGGGAGACTGGGGAGGAATTCTTCCCTGTGAGGGTGAAGAGGCCCTGGCACAGGGTGCCCAGAGAAGCTGTGGCTGCCCCATGTTTGGAAGTGTCCAAGGCCAGTTTGGACTGGACTTGGGATAATGGAAGGTATCCCTGCCCATTTCGGGGAGTGGAACTGAGTGATATTTAGGGTTCCTTCCAACCCAAATTATTTAATGGTTCTACTCCAAAAAGGCATGAACATGCATGGTCACAAGCTGGCTTTGCAGAGAGCTGCATTAATTACTCCCTCAGTTCCCCGAATAACAAGTATCTGGCCTGCAGAAAAAATTCTTGGCTTCAGCTTTTATCCAGATGGAGCAGATGGTAAAAATGGGGGCTAAAAACGATTTTTCCTCACAACATTCTGGGGACATGCAGCTGGGGCCATTGATTCATAAACAAGTGTTTGCAGAAAAGGTATGAGGGAAAGTCTGATGAATCCAAGTGGGTTTATTCCCATTTTTGTAATAAAATACTCATAACAAGATGGCACCAGCTAGGATCCAGTGATGCAGAGAATAGGCATTTACTGTCTACCCCTTTTGTGAATTTGGAAAGGAGAAGGATAAATTCCTGACTGTAGTTGTAGGGGACATTGACAGCTCTGGAGGTGCAGCCAGGAGTATGAGTACCTAAAGGTTCTTACGAAGGCAGAAATAGGGACCAGTTAATTTGAGCATGAAGTCATGCTCAATGTGAGCAGGCCAGAGGAAAAACTCTGACATTCCTGTAAACCATGAAAGGAGCCCAGAATTTCCAAATGTTACTATTCCAGTTTAATAGGACAGTGTAAAAAAATACCCAAACAAACCATGAATGGAGCAAACACAGAGTCTGTTACACAATATTCATTCTTTTTGACCATGAAAAAGCAGCTGATATACTTTGGAACCCAAAGCAACTTCAATGCCTTAAATCATTGTAAAGCATGATAGCACTGCTACTGTAACGGTGTAAAAAACCCCAAAAAGGGAAGGAAACATGAATAAATCTTAAAGGTATTGATACTAGAGATCTCTGTATGATGTTTTAGTTTAAATAGATAAAAATAAACTCACAAGAGTGAGGAATCCCTGGAGGGATGTTACCTGCTGGCTGCACACATGTGTTTAGCTCCAGTCTGAAACGAGCCGTTTGTGTATTAGCAAAGAAAACAATCATTTAAAAATGATTAACAGTGTTGACTGAGTGTCTTTGAAAGAGCATCTCGGACTTCCTGACTTGCATGGTTCACATCCCAGCTTTAATGTGGTGTTAATATAAAAGAGGAAGACCAGGAAAGTGCGTGAAAAGGAAGATAAGCAAACATCAAACTGATCTTTCAGCAAATTATGAAACTTAAAGGAGAAACTGAGCAATAATGAGAGCAGTGGGGAGGATTTCCTGGGGTCAGACTAGTTCAGCTCTGCAGACATTTCCCCTGTGGGAGTCTGTGGGACAGGCACTCTCAGGATGCTGGCTTCTTTGGCAGCAGATCTATTTCATGCCCAAAGGAAGTATTTAAAGCTTTTAGCACCTGAGGAATGCAAATTGCTCCAAGCGACAGCATATGCCATGTTCTTCATTTGTCCAATAACTTCACTGTTACAGAATCAACGCCTAAAATAGCCTCCTGTAAAAGCAGATCTGTTTGAGAAGATTAAAGTTCCCCTCCCTGTGGGGCAAAAACTTTTTAATGTGAGAGGAATGACTTGGAATCTGCGGTTAGAAAATCTGGCTGATGCAGACCCTGGGGTCTGTGGCACAATGGCTGCATGCAGCGCGCCAGGCTTTTCTTGGAGCAGAAACTGTTTGCAGAGTGGTTCCCTACAGCTCCCAGGCTGTGCAGAGCCCTGACTTATCATCCTTTTACAGCCAGGACAGCAGAGCAGCATGGAAGCAGGACAAAGCAGTAGGGGCAGATTTTCAAGTTTTCTCTTTGTAAGGTGCCAAATGAAGCTTCAGCAGTGTCTGCTGAAAGCCTCCTCTGTCCCGTTAGGAAGAGACACGGAATTCCCCACCGGCCATCGCCTGGACACCTCACGTGGCCACGCTGCTCTTGCCAGCAGCACGGGACAGCTGCAACACTTCATGAGCCAACTCTTGAAGAATTCCTGTGGATGAAAGCACTCCAAACAGCACAGGGTTTTTATGACATCCCCTCCTGGCCTCTCCTGACATCCAGTCTTGGCTGCCGCTTCCTACTTATTCGCAACTGCCAGTGTGTCTTATCCAGAGCTATTTCCAACCAGTGTCTGAGGTACATACAGCACTCCAAAACCCGGTGCTAGGAGGGAAAGGTGCTTGTAGCTACTTTGGTATCTCCCACACCCAAGCTGAGCCACAGATCAAATGTCCAGTTCTGTAAGTCAAGCCCATTTAATTCGTTATGTAAGCAGATGTGTATTATCCTAAATTTAGGGATATCTGTGGTAGGTACTGGTCCACCTGCTTTGCATTCAGGGTGCAGGAAATTCTTCCAAGTGCACTGCAAGCAATGGGAAAACCCAGTAAAGCAACACAGCTTCTGGGAGCCTCAGCTCTGGAGCAGAGAAGGCAAGCAAGTCCTATTCAGTAACCTATTAATGCATTCTACTCAGTCTTATTTGTTTGTTTGCTTTGTGTGAAAGACATTTTTGTTCTCTGACAAGACAGAAATGGTTGGCTTCACAGGATTGCTCAATGCGGAGAAACAAATAGGTTAGATATTAGGAAGAAATTCTTCCCTGTGAGGGTGGTAGGTCCTGGCACAGATTGCCCAGAGAAGCCGTGGCTGTCCTGTCCCTGGAAATGTCCAAGGCCAGGTTGGATGGGGCTTGGAGCAACCTGGGATAGTGGAAGGTGTTCCTGCCCAGGGCAGGGGTGGAACTGGATGGGCTGTAAGGTTCCTTCCAACCCAAACCATTAAAAAAGAACAAAAGCTAAAAACCCAAGTGAGCAGGGCAAACTGCTGGGCTTTTGGGCTCTGCTCCCTACGTCTCTAGGACTGACAGCTTACGTGGTATCCCTGGTGGAACTGCTTTTGGTGGTACCATAGAACAGCTGTGCCTGGGAGCCTCTTTCAGCTGCACAGGAGCAATGGGAAGATGGAGAGTGAGACCAAAGGCTCAGCTAAACTAGCAGGAGGTGAGGAAGGATGAGATGGAGCTGTACCAACAATCAGCCAAGCTTTTTTAGACATGGTAGTTTCCTGTTCTGAAGGGGTTAAAGACAGTTCATTCAGTATTTTCTAGATCAAAATGCAATCATGCTTATAAATCAGTCAGAGCAGAGAAATGGTATACATGAGAGTGTTGGAGGGATTTGTGGAGAAATATGTGAATGTCTGTCCAGTCAGAGCATTGCAAGCCTGAGAGCAGTTAGTCATCTCCAGCTTTGCCCCTCTGCTGACAGTGCTCAGAATGTGCTAGATGCAGGGAAAAAGTCAATTAAAGAAATTCCTCTGGCTCCTTGCCCCCAACCACTTATTCTTGCCTCTTCTTTAGAACAGTTTCCTCTCCACTGTACCAGTACAGTGATGTGCAGAGCTGTGCTCCAGGTCCCTGAGCTGGAGGAGGTTCACATCCCTTTTCTGTGCTGCTGCTGCCGTGTCTGTGCCCTCTGGACTGAGCGGCACCTCACCTTTGACATGGATGGCCTGGAGCAGTAAGAGCAGAAACAGGCATAAATGGGGTGCAAAGCTGAGGTCAGCGTAATACACTGAGGAATCACCATTTTTCTGCATCCTGTGCAATGTCAGCATGCCAGCAGATAGCAGCAGTTCAGATAAGTTCCTCCAGTGTCTCATAACAGATGAAAAATTGTGCAAATTAGGATGCAGTTAAGCTGATGATGATAATTTGTTTTTACAGGAGTAATCCTGTACCTTTTGCAATAGAGAAATGCTACTGGGAGGGAACTTTCAAAGATGATGCTTATGTGAGTGTACTGGGATAAAAATTGGTCACATACTTACTGGCTCCCTTGGGACAAAACGTCAGAGCATTTTCCAAAGGAGAGCAGAAGTTAAGTAGTGAGTGGGACTTGCTCACTCTCTGTCTCAGAGGTTCATTACAAAACTTGGCATGGAGAGTGGGCAAAGACTGAAAAGGTAAGAAAGTGGCTTAGAAAATGCCAGGATCAAAAAGAAAGGGACAATTCACATATAGAGTGAGGAGCTTATTTCCACAGGACACTGTGAGTGCTAAAATGTTTGGGTTCAAGAACCTATTGAAGAAATACCAGGAAGTAAAGTCTGTCCAGACTATTACACACAGACATAGCATCTTTGCTTCAGGAAGTCCCCGAGCCACAAACCACTGGGTCTGGTGGAGTATTTAGGAGAAATATTACTCCATACATGATCTGTTTTCATACTGTCTGTAAGCTTTGACAGTTGGCTGCTGTAGGGGGTGGATATCTTCTGCTCTGTGGATCTGTTATCTGACTCATCCACCTCTTAGAAGCATTTTGCAGGAGTCACAATTGGTTTGCTCATCTGCTTAGCTGATATCTTCTAGTAAATCTGAATTCATCCAGGAAATGCTCAGAAGGTGAAAGAGAATGCTCAAAGAGCAAAAATGCCCCAAATTCTTCTTTG